GGTTCGCAAGAGAACTTTGGTATTAATTTTAAGTCATTGCTCAGGTGTCAAAATTTCTAAAAATATGTACATTTGATGAAAACTATTTATTAAACATCTTTAAAAAAATTTATTCTGTCCGTGACACCCTAGATTATTTGCACTGGTCTCGCTAAAATCGATAGTGACGCAAATATGATATGAGAAGGGTTAGGAGTATTCCTATTGGCCTACATTTTAAGTAATCTATTGTCTATTTCAGCTATAGGCATTGTTCTCCTTTGCTATCGAATTAATATTAACTCCTGCATTTGAGGGGGTCATTTGGTGGACACTTTAATGATTTTTTATATTTCTTCGGTTCGCAAGAGAACTTTGGTATTAATTTTAAGTCTTTGCTTAGGTGTCAAAAATTCTAAAAATATATACATATGATGAAAACTATTTATTAAACATCTTTAAATTTTTTTTATTTCGTCCGGGACACCCTAGATTATTTGCATTGGTTTCGCTAAAATCGATAGTGACGCAAATATGATATGAGAAGAGTTATTAGAGTATTCCTATTGGCCTACATTTTAAGTAAACTATTGTCTATTTTAGTTACCGACATTGTTCTCCTTTGCTAACGAACTAATATTAACTCCTGCATTTGAGGGGGTCACTTGATAGACATTTTAATGATTTTTTTTATATTTGTTTGGATTACAGGAGAACTTTAGTATTAATTTTAATTCATTGCATAGGTGTCAAAATTTCTTAAAATATGTACATATGATGAAAACTATTTATTAAACATCTTTAAAAAAAATTTATTCTGTCCGTGACACCCTGGATTATTTGCACTGGTGTCGCTAAAATCGATAGTGACGCAAATATGATATGAGAAGGGTTAGGAGTATTCTTTTTGGCCTACTTTTTAAGTAAACTACTGTCCATTTCAGTTATAGGCATTTTCTCCTTTGCTATCGAATTAATATTAACTCCTGCATTTGAGGGGGTCATTTGGTGGACACTTTAATGATTTTTTTATATTTTTTTGGTTCACAAGAGAACTTTGGTATTAATTTTAAGTCCTTTCCCAGGTGTCAAAATTTCTAAAGATATATACATATGATTAAAACTATTCATTAAACATCTTTAAAAAAAATTTATTTCGTCCGGGACACCCTAGATTATTTGCATTGGTTTCGCTGAAATCGATAGTGACGCAAATATGATATGAGAAGGGTTAGGAGTATTCTTTTTGGCCTACTTTTTAAGTAAACTACTGTCCATTTCAGTTATAGGCATTTTCTCCTTTGCTATCGAATTAATATTAACTCCTGCATTTGAGGGGGTCATTTGGTGGACACTTTAATGATTTTTTAAAATTTTTTGGTTCGCAAGAGAACTTCGGTATCAATTTTAAGTCATTGCATAGGTGCCAAGCATAGGTGCCAGTCATTGTTAGGAGCATTCTTTTTGGCCTACATGTAATTGGCTACATATTTACATTTTTTTTACTTTGTTCGTGTCACCTTAGATTAATTGCACCTTAATTTAGAAAGTTTGAAAGCACATTTTTTTATTCGAATCCAGTATCCTATAATCAGTACTGGAACCGAGTCTCTTTTTATCGGTATTCTACCCTTCATTTGAAAAACTTCCATGCACATTTTATTTAAACCGAGTCCACTATCTTATGATCAGTACTGGCATCTTCATTTGAAAAGTTTGAAACCACATTTTTTTATCTATCCCAGTATCTTATAATCAGTGCTGGAACCGAGTCTTTTTTTATCTGTACTCAAACCATCATTTGAAACCATCTATTGAAAAGTTTCAAAGCACATTTTTGTAAACGAACCTACTATCTTATAATCAGTACTGGAAACGAATCTCTTATTATCTGTACTCGATTCTTCATTTGAAAAGTTTGAGACCATAACTTTTTAATCGATCCCACTATCTAATAATCAGCATTGGATTCGAATCTCTTCTTATCTTTACTTGAGCTTTCATTTCAAAGCACATTTCAGTACTGGAACCGGGTCTCTTTTTATCGGTTCTTGACCCCACTATCATTTGATTAATAATCGAATTCACTACGTATATATATATCTACATATATAGTATAGCACACTCAAATTATCTTCTTCTTGCTTAGAAAATTTCTAGGCGAAATATTGCCTTGTAGATGTGTGGCCTACAGGATTTTTCAAATTAATTGCTGTAGCCCTATATTGCATAATGTTGTAGGCACTTTTAATCTATTACTTTATTATTAAACTAGATACGTTAAACATTGTGCGATTTTATTCTTCATGAAATATTCTGTTTGAGTCAAATATTTTTCTGTCAAAAACATAAATTTTATAAAGAAAAGGATAGTTGACTGGTGCTTAAACCCCCTTCAACTCTGCACGCGACTTTGAGAGGATAAATTATCTTCTAGATCAGTGATTCATAAAGTGGTCTATATCGACCCCAAGGGGTTGACGACAACCTGCAAGAGGTGAGAAAAAAATTGGCAAGTGAGAAAAAAATTTGGGGTCCATAAAATAAAAATGGGGGTCAACGATAGGGGATCTCATATAAGCAGGTCATGACTTTTAATTTTGGCATTTTATGAATGGAATAATTAGCATACACTGATAGTACCTATTTACTTATATTATACTACACTTTCCTTTTATGAAAGGAGTTACATGGTCTTGAATTTTGAGTGCCGGATCCGTCCATTTATGTACCCTTTACATTTGTTATTCGCTACTTAACAAAGAAAGATATTTGTTTTTATATATAGAACATTTTATTCAGGCTAAAGTATCGAAAATATTGTAAAAGAAGTTGAAAAATAATATAAAATATATTAAATTATAAGGGATTTTTCCATTTTTAACGCATTATTCGCTATTTCCCGAAGGTAAAAAACATTTTTTATATACAGGACCCTCTAAAATATCGAAAAACACATTAATAAAATAATATAATGTAAAATAAACAAAAGAAATTTTTTTTAAAAAATCGACCTCAGCAGCCGGGATCGGAACCCACACCAACCCACTTTGAGAAAGTTACTAACGCACGACCCTACCAATTGAACCACGCATACACATTGTTCGTCCGACTATTTGGCTTCGAGAACCCTCTCACGTTTGGTCAAACAAAAAGGGTTTGTGTTCACTGCGGCCTCCCTAATTGCTCTATAAAAATTTACTTAGGCACTATTGTTCAGCTCATAGAGCCCTACTTTCCGCCCGAGTTTGAACATTATAGCTTGGTATTAAAGGGAGTTACGTGGTCTTGAATTTTGCGTGTGAACCAGGTCCGTTTGGGTCACTTTTCCGGCCATTATATGCATTATTCGCATCTTTAACAAAGAAAGATACCTCTTTTTATATGTAGAACACATTTTATTCACCCTAAAATATCGAATATATTGGAAAAAATTACGTAAAATAAAATAAATAAATAAATTATCCGGGATTTTTCTATTTTTTACACATTATTCGCTATTTCTTTTGGGAAAAAAATATTTTTTATGTATAGAACCCTTTTAAATATTGAAAAACACATTCAAACAATTCATGCAAAATATATAACTTAAAAAAAAAATTGACCCAACCCGCGTCACTCCGCTCAATGAATCTTGCTTGCGCACAGCTCTACCGACCGGACCATGCCATGCATGATGTTCCCACGAATATTTAGCTTAATTAACACTCTACCGTTTTGTCTAATAAAAAGGTTTTTGGCTTATTGTGGGCCCCCTGTTGGTCTATAGAAATTTTCTTTGATACGTTTATTCGGCACATTGAACCCTATTTTCATGCCGAGTTTGAAAAATTACTTTTCTGACAATTAAGCTGCAAAGTTTTTTTATTTTATTTTTACTAACGAATGTCAATCCACTCCAACGTCTTGGTGTTTTACTACCTATATATAACCCGTCCCAGATCGCGAAGCAAGGTAAATTCTACTCAGTAAGAAGTTCAGAAAATTGGCGAGCGAAAGCGAACTTTTTTTTTTTTTTTTTTTACAAAATGTAATTTTCTAGTTATTATTATTGCTGCATATTCCTTATAGACAAGTAAAGATTTAATTTTCATAGTGCATATGCGATGCACTAAGACTTAGAGAAAACGAAAATGTATTAGAACGATCGTCGTTATGTATTGTATTCAAAAATGTATTAGAACGCTGAGTTGACTCCGCTGAGACCCACCGAGTATGCGATATGTGCACTTGTAAAATCTGCGGAATCGAATGTCCTGTGCTTGACTACTGATCATTGCCATGAGTACAAGAATCTGGAGAAAATTTCATTCCCTTTCAGATCTATGTCTAAAATGAGGAAGTGTCCTCTCGATTTGCGATGGCGTGTCTTCGGATCATTCTCAGGGATGTGTCACCCTTATCATACTGTGCAACTACTCTAGTGTGATGTAAGTAAAGTACTTAGCATCTTTTTAATCGAATCCCGAGCAAAAATTCTGCAACCCCTTGACTAGAAAATCTTAGCGCAAGAATCACCTTCCCTAACTTTACCCGTGGAGTTGCATTTGTAGCGTCAACGCTCTACGCTAGCGGCCTCTGAGACTGATTAAAAATAAAATTTCTGTTCCCTTTCGGTTGATTTAGCATTAACAGAAATAGGCAGTTAACTACGTTGCATGAGTGAAGCGAAAATTACGATCGTCAACAAAGAACTTCTAATCGTTAATGTCGTAAACAAATTTTTTTACTAAGAAGGTTGAATTTTCTTTATTAAATTGTTTAAATTAGATTTTAGATGTTAATCATTCTGTTTAATATAATTTTATGTAAATAGTTTTATTGTTATTGATGTTGAGAATTGTCATATTTGGTTATCGTAGTGTAGTGTAATTTCCGTATCTGTATCTATGGTAGAGTTATCTCCAAGTTTTGGCAACTTCCGGGCAGTGTCCCGCTAGAAACTTAAAAAAAATATATATATATCTTAGAAAGGAACCAGCTATAACTAGTAGCCTACCTCGGGCAAACATCTACATTTTTTTAAGGAAAGGTTTGCAAGTTCAAAATCTATTTAGCACCTTGGCGATTGTAATTAGCACGACAGATAACGATTCGAACTCCTGGATATAGTATTGGAAAATTTGCCTTTGTGGAGGACTTTTTTAAAGGAACTAACCTACATTTGCGTCACATGGAGAGGAAAACTACGAAATCCTCTCAGGGTTAGTCTAGCTGCAAGGGACTCTTACCATGATCCGTCTACCACTGGGGATGTATTGCGTCAGCATTGTGGTCCGTGCGTAATTCTTTTCGATCAGGAATCATTGGGATTCAAACCCGGTTCACCTCATTGGAAGGCAAAAGCTCTATCCTCTGAGCCATTGTGGCTCAACTTACAGAAATGTGAGAAAATAATGTGTGGTAATTTACTTTTAGTTATTTTCTTTCAAGTGGGCCCGGTTATATGTTATCATAGTTTCTCGCAAGCGCCAGCTTGAAAGTTGCTAAAACATGATGATTATTTTGGCAAAGACGCTAGTACTAAGATTCCCCCTCCCTCCAATTAAATTTCCCAGCTATTTGAGTTTAAATATATTTAAAAATAATATATATTAGCTCGCTTTTGATGGATACATGCTTTTTCTCTCCAAGTATGCTCCTATCAGTGTTTTTTTTTTTTTAACGTATCTCTGCCAAACTAGAGAGTGACCAAAACTTGGTGATTATTCTGCGACTGGTTTGAATATGGAAATCTTCCCCTAAATTTTGCTATCGTAAGTCTTTTTAAAAATTTGAACTGTAAAAAACTTAAAATTATGAAAAATTTTAAATTTCTAAAAGGGTTTTTAATTTAATTATCCTAAAATTTAATGATTAGGTTTGGTAACTATTCTGTTTTGAGGGTAAAAAAAAAAACCTAATTACTCCAGTACCTTTTAACACAGTGCCTAACCTATTCCTAATAGGATATCATAATTGGTTTGGCAAATTTTTATTCAACCCTCATAAATGTAGTTCCCTAAATTATACAGAACATAATTTATTGAACTGAAAAAATATTCAACATATGTAGTGTAATCAATTAAATATGAAGTATTGCAATTCTATTCTTGATTGGTTAAAATGGAGAGCATTACTGTCACTGTGGCAGAATCACTGTGACATTTTCGCAGAACGTTACAGAGTTCTTGCAAAAAGACTTTTCTATTAAAAAAGCAAAAAATTTTGCTTTTCTTTTCTACAAAAATTTACAGGTTATGAATTTAAATCTGTATTCGCAGAACGTTACAGAGTTCTTGCAAAAAGACTTTTCTATTAAAAAAGCAAAAAATTTTGCTTTTCTTTTCTACAAAAATTTACAGGTTATGAATTTAAATCTGTATTTCCGACAGTTATTAATATTGATTTTCATGTGGATTTTAAATATCCCGAAATATTTCAAACAATATGGAAAATTCGAGTGGTGCATTTTAGTGTATACTATTTAAGGCAATGATTCTATCGAATTCACGGCAGTTATTCCTATTGATTTCTCCATAGTTTTTTAATCCGTTATTTATTATACGATATTATTTATTACAATAACCTAAACTCCAAACATAACACACATTTGAGCAGTCCGATTCGCAAGATTTCGTGGTCGATCTTTTTTTTAGCAATTACTGATTCATGATTTTTAATTAGTTTTGTTACTGTGATGATTATTTACAAAATGTGAAGAAGGAAATAATTTGAGCTTTCCCCCCACCCCAAAAAAATGCAAGAATATCACCCATAATATTAGAATAAAAAATTATGACTTGTTCAATTAAAAAAAAAAAAAAACATAAATTTTTTTTTGGTTTGTAAACGCAGCGCTTTTTTTTTTTAATTTTAAATTAGTAACATATATGTTTGTTATTGTTGAAAGTATCTTGCAGAAGGATATTAGTGCTAGAGAGTTTTATCGCAGATAGCTCAAAAAAAAAAANAAAAAAAAAAACATAAATTTTTTTTTGGTTTGTAAATGCAGCGCTTTTTTTTAAAAATTAGTAACATATATGTTTGTTATTATTGAAAGTATCTTGCAGAAGGATATTAGTGCTAGAGAGTTTTATCGCAGATAGCTCAAAAAAAAAAAACTCTGCCACAGGGATCTATTTCAATATTTAAAATCAACTTATTTATAACTAAATCGTTTCCAAAATGAAAAGCCATATGACTGAAAAATTCTCAAAATTGGTGATTCAAATGGACTATAGGTGGCGTAGAGCAGAGCCTTATACCTTGGAGAGTCATATAAGAAGGTAGTACTTCCTTTACAAGAGAGGGAAAGGGGAGGGTTTAAGACTTGCAACCCATCTTCTCCCCAGATGGCATATTTGAGCGTTGCGATCGCAAATAAAGAAATAGCTTAATATTTGTTGTTTCTTTATTGCAAGGTTATCCCACACGACTAAAATGCAACTATTTTCGGCATGAGCCGACTGTGGAAACTTTTTTTGCCTGAGAAGGTTACAAAAACAGCTATTTTCAGGAAAAGAAGGCTATTGGAAGACTTTTCTGTACTTCTAGCAATGTTTTTAGTATAAATTGAGTTCGGAACAATTTTCAGGAAAAGGAGATTTTTCTGTGCTCCTAGCAATGTTTTATTTAGCATAAATGGAGGTGAAAACCTGAGGCCCACAGAAGCTTCTGAATACATGGAAAAAAAAATTTTCTTAAAAAATTTTTTTTTTCCATGGCAAATTTTGAGTTATCACTTTTTAATTTGTTCAATTTGCACAGATTCCATTGTAAGTATATTTCGTTTCTTGATCGAAAAGGCAATCTAGAATGGTGACCTTTTCAACAGTTATTGCTACACAAATCCTCATGATTTAAAAAAACCAATTTTTAATACAATATTACGATGTGTGGATTTAAAAGGGAAAATTTTTAAGAACAAGTATGTTTTTGAATAAATTTTAGTAATTAAAAGTTTATATTTTTCTGCAAATATACTAATTGTTTTGATCTAAAAATTTAGTGCTACTTCTAGAACACTAACATTTATATAAAAATTATTATATTTGCCACCAACTTGACTAATGGATCATGGTATATGACAATTAAGTCATTTAATAATATTTTTGATGAATTTTTGTTCTTATTTAGGCAACTATTTTCATGCTACTAAAAGCAACTATTTTGTTCATTTTTTTCTGTGGCAACCCAGCTTTATTTTGATGTGAGTAAAATAGAATGTTAGACTATATTTGAGGGTGTCCCTTGATTTTCACCAAGTTGTGATAGCGATTGATCGCCAAGATGCTTGATGTTGTCTTATTTATGGGAACGTCTATAGTTATTTCTGGAAACTCAATCGTGATTCTGATTGGCTTAGATTTTAGCATTATTTTTTAATGTTCAATGGTGCATGTAATTTCAGAGGTCTGCTAGTTCCACGTTGGATGTCGGCTGGTAAGGTTAATTTTGGTCCTAGTCTGGTTATTAATTTTGCTTATATTGTGTTCATTGCAATTTTATTAAGTTTTGACCATTGTTTTATTGAAATTTTCCTACATTTTATTGAGATTTCATTATGTTTGGCTGCCATTACTATTTGCACGATGTTCCGCGCGAACAGGAATGGCGCCCAACAAAAATCGCCAAAGGGGCATCCTCAAATATATTTTTACCAAAAAAAAAATGACTTGCTAGTCAATTATTGTAATTGAATTATTATTTTCTATTAATTAATTGCAGCAGCCTATGAATGAGAGTGACGGAGAGTCAGCTACTGAGAGCACAAAACTGATGACTTCCTTTTTGAACAGCCAGTATTCCAAGACTGATAGTAGTCTCCAGTCCATTTTAGCACAAAACGATAAAATGCCGCAGTCCGCTTCAGATCCTTCTATTCCTAGACGAACTGAAATGTACTCACCGGTAAGAAATGTATGTTCAAAGTAGTTTTTTTTTTTCATTAATCAGTTGCATAGCTGCAAACTCTACTGGATTTTACCACTTGCTCCTGGTTTACTGGTTTAATCAAATTACGTTTTTGTATATTATAGAATATTCCCTAAAATTAGGTTTCCCCAAAAAATCCCTATTGAAATACAATTTCTCACAGTTTATTGCTTGTTTGAACATTTAAATTCATGTTACATATTGAAGCGAGCTTCATTTATACTATTCAAATTAAAGCTTTTCTTTCTTTTTTAAAATTTTCAGTTTATTTTTATTGGAACTCTCTTTTTAAATGAATTAAAATATCTTTCAGGGGTCTGTCTAGGTTTTTTTGAGAGGTACCTATTTTGTGAAAATTAAAAGTTATATTAAAAAATTAACACCAAAATATGATTAAATAAGAAAATATTTTCAAAAATTTTCTCTGCAAATAAAAATCATTTACGACTGGTAAGTTTCAATATGTTTTTCCCCATATATTCAAAAATAATTTTGTTATTATAAAATTTTGGGTTTAAAATCTTATCCAAATTTAAAAATTTTACCCGTAATTAAATTTCAACTGGAATTTAATAAGAACATGCATTTAAGGGTACTAGCGCTAAAAGTTATTTCCATTATGAGAGCATTTTCGACTAGGTCATACAGAAACAAAATTTTAAGAGGCGGGGGGAGGGAGAATCTTAGAACTTACATTTTAAAAAGTATTTTGTGAAACTACTGTTTTTCCTAAAGTTGAATTTGTGAAAGTACTGCTGAACTCTACTGCATTTTCCAGTAGTCTAGACTTAATAATCTGTCTAGACTTTGTAGAAGTCCTTATTTTCTAAAAAATCTTCTTTCAATTTTTTAAGTCTATTATTATCGTAATTTCCACCTCTTTCTCATAAGGTTTGTTTTCACGAATGTGTAAAAATAAGGTTCTGTTTTAATTTAAAAAGTACACACACACAAACCTTGTCTTTCAAAGAGATGCAGTTCTAAAATTAAGAACTAAAGCCGTCATCGTTCTCGAACACTTCAAAAATGTCTTCTTTTGAAAAACATTTTTTAACTGAAAAAATCTTCTGAAGGATCTTTCTGAAAAATTCTCGAATTTGTGAAGAGTATATTTCAACCATGAAAAGAATTGTGAAGTTACCATTTTAACGATTAAGAAAAATTTGTTATAAGAAAAGATTAAGAAAAATTTGTTATACCTAATCCTAAAATCTGCCTAATGTAATGCAATGTGAAGTTTCGTTAGTTTCCAGGGATTTTCTTTAAATCCTGCATTTGTGCCGTACTGAATGGAGTTATCAGAGTCTCATGTAAAGTTGTAAAATTTTTACTCTTTTGAGTCAAAACTGCTTCATTGACTAACTATGAAAATGACATAAAACTGATGTATGGAATTGATGTATCAGTACTAAACAGGAACCATTGCTGCCAACTCTACTGGATTTTGCCAGTTTCTCCTGGGCTACTGGTTTTATAAAAAGTCTCTTGGTTTTTGTACATTTTAGAAAATTCCCTTAAAATTGAGTAAGTTTCCTTAAAAAATCCCTATTGAAATAAAACTTCTGCCTAGATTATTGCTTGTTTGAATATTTAAATAGGTGTTACTAATACCTAATGTAGCGAGCCTCATTTATAAAAATCAGTTGACTATCTTTGATGAATTAAATGCCTATTACTATTCAAAATTACGAGTGTATATACAGGGGTCTATCCCGGGAAATTAACTACCGTTTAGCGGTACCTTCACAAATTCAACTGAAAAAAAAAAGCGGTAGTTTCACAAAATACTTTTTAAAAAAGCAAGTTCTAAGATTGTCCGCCTCTTAAAAGTTTGTTTTTGTATCTCCATAAAAAGCTATAAATCCGAGAGTTTTTAATGAAACAATAAGATTCTCTCTCTATAACCTATACAGAAAGTCAAAATTCGAACATAATTCTAAACATTCGAACATTATCTTTAACATTATTGTAAATTTCTTCTAAATGACCTTTATTTTTTTTATGAATTTTTTTCCCTATGAAACTTTTATCTGTATGACCTAGTCGAAAATATTCTCATAATGAAAATAACTTTTAGTTCTACTACTGTTAAATGCAAGTTGAAATTTAACTATGGACTATAGATTTTTAAATTTGGATACAATTTTAGCTCGAAATTTTACAGTAGCAAAATTAAAATATATAGAAATTTGCCAGTCATAAATGATTTTCATTTGTAGTGACAATTTTTGAAAATAATTTCTTATTTTACCATATTTTGGTGTTGGTTTTTTAATGTAACCTTCACAAATATTCACAAATTTTGTATTTTCACAAATTTTGTGTAAATTTTCACAAAATAGGTACCTCTTAAAAAAACCTAGACAGACTCCTGATATAATTCATAGCATTTCAAGCTCATTTAATGTTAATCATAAGTGAAAAAATTGCAGTTATTCTATTTTGATGATTATAAAAATCCCTAAAATTCCCTAGGTGTAAAATATTTAGTACATTCTGCAACACTAACTGATTAGGATTATCAGCAGCAATGGTGGACATTAAAAGTGTATTCATGGCAACCTCCTCAGAAGGTTAAAAAAAAAAAAGAAAATTATGTTTCGAAAAAGACCCTTTTCTTAATTTAATTGGCTGTTAAATGTTTTAATTCTAGAAATTTTTAACCCCTTTTGGTGTCAATGCTTTATTGCAGTTTTTGATGCCAGGAGTCTTATTATATTGATAATTATTATTTTTAGGAACCTAATGGGCCAGCAGATATTGAAGTGAATTTTCAAGATGGAGATATGAATTGTCCACTATCAAGTTCTCCTCCTTGTGAAGGAAACGCTGGAGAAATACCCTCATCAAGATTTAACAGGTTAGCTTTCATAATTCTTCATGACTTATTGATATTAACAGAGTATGGCAGATCATGTGAAAAACATGCAAGGCTAAAAAAATATTTTCAGGGTATCTGCGTACCTGGAAAGTAATTTAAAATCATGGAAAGTCATGAATTTTGGTATTGAACAAAATTTGTCATGAAATGTCATGATTTTAACTATTTTTTTAAAAAACTCTTGGAAAGTCATGGATTGAGGTCGCTGAAAAATCTAATTTTTAAAATAGAATTTACAACCCCTCCCCCCAATTTCATGGTGTTCTGAATATCTGAATTTGTAACAAAATCTCCACTCAGTCATATTTTATTAAAATATAAAATGTTTTTATCATGTTTTTTAAATTTATCGTTGTGTTTTTTGTCAGAGAAAATAGTAACTTCGTTAGATCATGAAAAATTCTTGGAATTAGTTGCGAAAAGTCATAGATTTGAAATTCTAAAATGTCGCAGATACCTTGCATGTGAGAGGTATAAATGTGTTAAAAAATTTTTGCTGCTGAAATTTATGCACTATCCTCTTGTAAGCAGCATTAGTAGGAAACATATTAAAATTTATTTTTATTTTTTGTGTAGCATCATAGCATACTTGCATATGATAGCAGAAAGTTAAATTAAAGGAACTTGTTATATTCTGAATGCTACAAGTGTAATTATGTTGTATGGCATGCTTTATCAGGCTTATTTGTAAAGATAACTTGGAACTAATAACCCCCTTGAAGACTTACAATGAATATTCACCCCTAACGCCGCCTGTGATTAGCATCATGCGGCTGGTGAACTATTCACATGATTTAAGAATCATACATTACGAATCATATTCTGCTGATTCAAAAATCCCATTGTGATTTGTGTTTACGCGATTTAAAAACCCTGCACATGATTTGTATTCACACATTTTACATATCATCATCACACATTTTTACATGCATCATGATTCATATTCACACTATTTAAAAATAGCACACCATGGTCAGTATTCACACTATTTAAAAATCATGCTTCGTGTTTCATATCCATACTATTTAAAAGTGATAAAATGAAGACTAAGTTATCTGAGCTGATAAAGACTGAAAATAATTTTATTAGAGCAGAAAATGGTGCCCATTGTTTTCTGGGAAAGGTTAATAAAAGATTGAAACTAGCCATTTCGAAGACTAGAAGGACATTAAAGTTGCTCAAATGATGGTTTAATGCTGCGAATAAAAGTATAATTATTGCTTAAAAAATATTGCAACTATTCACCATAATTAGCTAAGATAAATATGATTTATTTAAGTTTCTATGTTCAAATGGAATTTTTGTAGTAATAAATGTATTTAGAATGAGATAGTTTATCGCATTTTAATTATGCATTTCTTTCCCTCTAATTTATCAAACTATTCTCTTTTTCAAGCAAATGTTTAATTTTCATGTTGGATAGTATTGATATATTTTGTATCATGTTAATATTATATTTATTTTTAATTTTTATTAACTTGATTTTTTTGTCAGAATGGTGTAAATATATTTTTAGTTACGTACAGAGTAAGTAAATGACTCAAAATCAATGTTCTTAAATTTGGAAAATAAATTTATCTTTTTGGACAATCTGCCTTGATTTAGGAGTTCTTTATGTTTTTTTTATATTTTTTTAAAAATATAAGTTTAGGTGTTTGTGTATACACTCGTAATATCCTTATTTAGAAAAAGGTTTTTTACTACTGAGATAACAATGTGCGTTCTTAAAAAGTTCTTAAAGGTGCTTTGTTCAATTTTCATTTTTCATAAAGCCCTTAAATGTGCTTTTTTTAATTGGGTGTTTTTAAAAAGTGCTTTATTTTCTGAGATTCTTGCACTCGCATGTGCAACTCTGCTGCGTTTTGCAAGATGTTTTCAATTTCAGGCTTCATTTTCCACCCTCGGGTATCTAACCGAAAACTCTCAATCTTTTTATTATGGCTAATATAATTGAGAAAAGATTTCTTTGTTAGAAACTAGCGATTTTATCGTGATCATCTGAAATCTTTGAAAATTATTTTGCTAATGTGCTTAAAAATATTTTTTGAGTGCTTGAAAAGTACTTAAAATGTGTTTATTTTTTGTTGAAAGATTTGGCTACACACCCTGGATAAAAAAAAATTCTAAATATATTGTGGTAAAGTATGTGTATGTATGCCTAGCTGAACCGTTTTAAGAGATGCCATTGTCACATTCTGATTTCTAACAATGTCATTTGAAATGTATTTCTAGATCTAATCTTCAGTCTTGGGAAGATGAGGAAGAAGAAGAATTGAAGTATGGGGCCAAACATGTCATTAAACTTTTCATTCCTGTTTCCCTCTGCATGTTGGTTGTTGTGGCTACAACTAGCTCCATTACTTTCTATACCCACACAAATACTTACTTGTAAGTATCTCCAACACATCTCCAAATGGTTATTGGACGGGTCCCATACCTTGAATTTTGACAAGGAATAAAAATTGCATTTCTTACCATTGTTATACATATTTATATTTGATACACAGCTGGCAATTTTACTGGATTTTGACAGTTTCTTTCTCCTGTCTACTGGTTTAATTAAAATTCTCTTGGTTTTTGTACGTTTAAAAAAAATCCCCATTGAAGTTTTCTAAAAAGAATTCTTATTGAAAGGAATTTTTGTACAGATTATTGCTTGCTTGCTTGAATATTTAAATAAGTATTACAAATACTATAATGAAACAAATCCCATTTATAGAAATAAGATCCAAAAAAGTTTTTTTCTATCCATGTTGGCAGCTATGTTGATATATATTTTTTTCATTAAACATTTATGAGCTGAAAACTTATTAACTAAAAACAAATAATAAAATCTAAAAGAAATTTTTTTTATAGTTATTAAGATTCAAAAGTTCATTAAACAAAGATTGAAATTGCTTATAAAATATTATATAATAGCAGTTTTTTTCCATTAATAAGTAAATATTGTATTATGAAATATATATAAACAGGGGTCTGTCCAGGAAAAATTTACAACCGTTTAACGGTATTTTCACAAATTCAACTTAAGGAAAAATGGTAGTTTCACAAAATACTTTTAAAAAAGCACATTCTAAAATTCTCCCTCCCCCTGCCTTTTAAAATTTTGTCGTATCCCTGGAAAAACAGTAAACCCGGAGTTAATGACACATTTCAATTTGCAATGGAACCCACCTGTGGTTTCCTATTATGTTGAAGTGGAAGAATTTGCTTCCTCCATGGGTTGTAAGAAAACTGCTTTTCCTCCCCATGCCTGGCTGAAAGCATGCCGGAATACCATAAATTAATTTTAAATATTATTCTAAATTTTTTCTGATTGACCTTAATTATTTTTAATAAAAAATTTTTTTCTGTGAGACCCAATCAAAAATGTTCTCATAAGGAAGATAACTTTCAGCGCTATTACTGTTAAATGTTTCTATTAAATTCAAGATGAAATTTAATTATTTTCAATGATTTTTATGGCTTTTTAAATTTGGGTTCAATTTTAAGCCCAAAATTTTACTATAGCAAACTTGTTTTTGAACATATGGGGAAAATATGTATAGAAATTTACCAGTCATAAATTATTTTTATTTGTAGTGAAAATTTTTGAAAATATATTCTTATTTTACCATATTTTGATTGTTAACATAACTTTTAATTTTTGTTGATTTGTTAACATAACTTTTAATTTTCACAAATTATGTCTGAATTTTTCTCAAAATAGGTACCTCTTAAGAAAACCTAGACAGACCCCTGATATATATATATATACATAAACAATTGTTTTTGTTTTGTTTCTAGTTCAGAAATGAACTCAATCCAAAAGAGAAAAAGAACCTTTAATCTACTTTTTTTCCTTTGTAATGGCTTTTGTAATCCGTTTTTAAAGTTATGTACTTTAAATTGTATTAAAGGAGTACATGGTGCTTGAAATTCAAGTGATCTGCTTGTTTTTCGAGACTACTAAAATACGAACCAGATCACAAAATAATAATAATCATAATCCTCAGTAATCTGCATAGCTAAAAAGACTTATGTTGGCAATCAGGCACATAGGCAAAAAAAAAAAAAGAATAATAATAATAATCCTTGTAAGTAGTAAAAATATAAAATATTTGATGAACTAAATAGTTATGAGCTGATAGTTATGAAAATATAAAAATCAGACTTTATTATCACCCTTGTTGATTTAAAGTTTTCAAGTTTTATCATTTGTAAAGATTAGTTTAATTGTTTATTTTTAAATTTGCTTTAACCCTTGTATTAGACTGATTGATGCATTTTTAATGGAAAAAATTTGATCAAAAAGACATACTTAAATATTAAAAGTTTAGTAGACCATATTACCATTGGCTTCAAGTTTCCTGTTCTAAAAGACCGGAATTTTTCTTATTTATTGTTTTTAGAATTATTTAACATTGATATCAGACCTTTTTTTTTTGTTCCGTAAGGAAATTGTGTTTACATTTTCATTAATATGTCTGTCTTGTTATAAAAATGTGAGGACCTTTTTTTTTTATGAAGCAGAGATGATTGTGCTCCAGAAAAAATCTGAATTTCCTGATTTTTTTGCTCACCGCAATCTGGAAATCCAAGGTCCAGAAGTTTCAAGAAATTATCGATTATTATATTTAATTAAAAATATTAGAACTAGAATTTATACTTGGGATCTCTTTCATTTGTAAATATTTTTTTCCAGCAGAATAATAAATGTGATTAAAGATAAAAGTAAACCTAAAATAATCATTAAATTATATATCAATAAATTATATGCAGCATTATAAATTATGCTGCATATAATTTATTTAGAATTTAAAGTTGCGAAAATATTAATGATTCAAATTGATAAAGACATTAATTTTTTGAAATGCATCATTAATGATTTTACCCAAGAAATTTCCAAGATTTTTCTGAATCTTTTCTGAATGAAAATTTTAATTACTATTTTTAAGTAATTATTTTTCACAGATAATGAAAAAATTCTTCTGATTGTTTATCTAGAGTTTATACACCTTTTACGGATCAGACTGTAGACACGCCTACTAAAGTTTGGCAATCTTTTGCAAATGCATTCATTCTGATGGGAGTGATTGTATGCATGACGATTCTGTTGATTCTTCTCTACAAATTCCGGTGGTACAAGGTAAATAATAAATTTTTATTCAAACATATTTTTTTGCATATAATTTTTACATAATTTACGCTTTTGAAAAATAAAAAAAATTCAGAATTATTCTTTATCTTATGATGATTTTATTCAGCATTTTAATTAATTATTACTACCTATAAAATATCTTATTAAATCAGATACGAAAAAAAATATGTATATACTCTGAAATATATATTAACTGTTCAATGAGCACAAAAAAAAAAACTATCACTCTCTATAACTTTCGTTCTAATGATCGGATTTTCACGTTCTGAGTGTCAATCTTAATGTTGAATTCACTCCAACTGAAACCAGTATTGAATTTTATAACGTTTAAGCAGTAGCCTTGTATTTGGTAATATTTTAAAGAAAATTTTTTGTAATTTATGAATTAAGTTATTTTTAGGAGTTATGCATGATTATAGTAAAATTTATCGTAAATAAAAGACATTTGTGTTTTTGACTTATTCTGTCAAAAAATTGTCTATTTTAAAGTAGAATAAGTCATTAAAAATATTACGATTTTACATATTGTTTGATTTATATTGTAAAATAAATTATTCCTTAGTCTAATTATGCAGTGATTTCTTTCAAAAAAAAATTTTTTCTTATTATTTTCAGTCAAAAATTATCTTATATACATTTGTCCCCTCTATTACAAGTATACTTTTAAGTTTATTTTATTCATTACACAAAAAAATCTTTTAATTTAATGACTAGTTTTTACAATTGAGTCTATTAGTAAATCATGTTATGTTATATTTTCATTTCATATGTTATATTATATTTCCTGACCACAAAATTATTTGGTTTTAAAACAGCTGACTATTTACTAAGTATACTATTTTTTTGAAAATAAATTATTGATCGTCTTTTTTATCGTTTTGTATTTTATTGAGTAAAGCAAAGTAAATGCGTATATGAGCTCAGCAAAAAATACAATAAATTACTTTGTTTTTTGTATGAATAAAAAATTATAGACATACATTTTATTTTTATATCCTTCGTTGAACAGTCGACCCAGTTATTTTGGGTTTACGGCTACTGATGTTCAAATCCGTAACCTTGTAATTTTGAACCAATCCAGAAGACAAGAGAACTCCTGAATCAGTACCCCCAGAAGTATAGATTTGTGGGATAGGGAACATGGAGGACTTTGCGACTCAACAGATTTAACGTGCATATGTCATTGTTTACTATACGGGGAGTCTTCCGCCTATGGGAATTAAAATCACGAACTCTTGGACATGGTCCCAGTGCCTTACCAACCAGGTTATCCCGGTCCATGGACATATAGTATTAATTATTTATTATATACATTATTAAATATTTATTGTATACATTATTAAATATTTATTGCATACATTATTAAATATTTATTATATACATTAAAAAAATTATTTATTTTGACATGCAAACTTATTCTCGCCTGCTGTTGCCCTTTTAAAAAGGATAGTGTCAAAAAAATTTTATTAGAAAGTTGTTAATACTATTTCTCAACTTTTACACTTTTTTAAAAAAAAATTTAATATCTTGTTTGGTATTGAAAATTTTAGATTTCTTTTTTAATATAAAAATCCTGTCTTTAATTTCATTTTATAAACTGTTAAAACTTTTATCTGTCTTCTTCAGGTGATCCACGGCTGGCTAATTCTATCTTCTCTGATGCTATTGTTCCTATTTGCTTACATTTATCTTGGGTAAGTTCTTTTTTTTTATGTATAGTTATCTTTATGATTAAGTTATATCTTACGTGGAAACTATACAGCCAGAGAAACTTTTCATGACAAATTCTGCTTCACCTCCATTCGTATTTTAAAATTTACAGTTCGTAAAAAAGGGAATTCAGGTAAACCTAGAGTAAACCGTGAATTTTCAGACAAATTATTGCAGGATTCTTTCTCCACTCTTTCTTTATCCTGCCCTAATTTGTTTACATTTTGATATTTTGAAGGGAAAAAAAGAAGAAAAATTAGCATTGAAAACTTCATCTTTTATTTTAAACTTACTTGAACTCACTTTTTCTATATACTTTGATTATTTATGTTAACCCACTGGCGGTTAAGGAAATTGGCAAAATTAGGAGAATATTTCTCCCTACGTGGAAAAACCGGTTTTACTATGCAGAGGAGACTGCAGGTTAAAATGCAACTTTTTACTATCAGAACTTTCAGTGGGTTAATGAAAAAGAAATTTACATGAAAAATTTTCTTCATTATATAGAGTCTTCTTAATTTGTGAGTACAGTATTTGAATATTTTTCTGTTAATTAATTAACAAACCTGGAAAAATGTAAATTTCAAAGCTATTTTTTAAAAATTATTATAATTATTTTTTTAAGTCATGCTATGTTATAGGAATTTCTTCCCACCAAGTTGTTAATTTTCCAATGCATGTATCATGAGGTGGTTTAAATTGTTACAACATTTATAGGTTACAAAAAAGTTTGGCTCTTGACTTTTTAAAATTTATTTACTTTAATGCTTGAATAATTTTTTTTCTTCCTTTTTTAAAGAATTTCTTTCTTTTTTTAAGTAGTGCTTTTTTTACTATGTTAATGAAACAGAAACTGACATGAAAAATTTCTCCCACTATATAGTGTCTTCTTAATTTGTGAGTACAGTATTTGAATATTTTTCTGTTAATTAATTAGCAAACCTGAAAAAATTTAACTTTCAAAACTTTTTTTTGAAACTTTTTTAAAGATTATTATTTTTTTAAGTCATGCATATTATATGAATTCCTTCTCACCAAGTTGTTAATTTTGTAACACATATGTCTTGAGGTTGTTACAAATGATACAACAGTTATAGGGTACAAAAAAGCTTGGCTTGAAACTTTTTATTATTATCTATTTTAATACTTTAATTTTTTTTTACTTTTTAAAGGGATTTCTTTTTTAAGTGGTGCTTTTTTACTAAAATTCATTCTTACATAAAATTGTTTATTTTCTTACTCATGAGGTTGTTTAGTTGATTCAACAGTTATTGGCTAGGAAAAAGTTAGGCTTGAAACTTCTTAGAATTTATTTACTTTAATGTTTGAATAATTTTTTTAATATGCAAAACATTACATTAATGATGATTTTGATATTTTTTTTTTGTATTAAAGGTAAGAGTTTTTAATTTAGGTTTGTAGGGGTTTAAGTTAGTTTTTTGTTTAAAATTATTAAAAATGTAAAGAATTAAACAACTCAAAAATTTTATTAGTATCTTTATAAATAAGTGGATATATCATAATATTTTAAAGCACCATCAAATGGTATTTTAATTATTTAGTATTGATACTGGTGCTTGAATTTTGTTTTTTAATTTTTTTTTTCTTTTTGAGATTTTATTTGTGTTTATTGCTGACCTGTTTCATTTTCATGTTTTCTTTATCGATGCTTATTATTAATATTAATTGATTATTTTTTCTCAGACATTAAATATGAGTCCAATTCTTATAAATCTATTTAAGCTTATATCTCTCTCTTAAAAAACAAAAACTGAAATTTATGAAATTAATTTTTGAAGTTGCACGCTTTGTTTATGCTGGTGATAAAAAATGAAGTTACACAACATATTATTCATAGTTTAAAAGTGAATGTTTTTCTGGAATTATAATTTTATATTATTTATTATTTTAATGTATCTTTTATAAACTTGTGTATTTGGATATTATAACTTTGAAAGTAATTCATATTCAAACTCATTTTAAGCATCTTCAATTACAATGAATCTATAGTTTTCATTATTAAAAGTTAATCTCTAGTAAAAATAAATATAAATCTATTTCATTTATTGGTTTCTATTTTAAATATTATGAAAGAGGCTTTCCAACAGAGTTTTCATTATTTAAAGAAAAAGAAAATTTATTTAATTTTTCAATAATAAGCATTTTAAAAATTATTTCTCGATGAAAGTTTTGCATATACTTAATATTTTTCAAGTAATAATGAAGCAATGTGTTGCTCTTACAAAAGTGTGTTCTGTTATAAAAGTTATTTGTGTTGCCTCTTAAAGATTTTCCTTGTGTGTTTATAGTCAATAAGCAAAGGTTATTTTGATTTGTGCCCCCCCCCCCCAAAAAAAAAATGGTCGGAGCCAATTTAAGTTACTTAAAACTGTCTTGTATCTATCCGATTGATATATAATAGGTAATTATCTCTGAAAACCAATTAAATTATAAATAGTGACCAACAAGTTAAATGATTTACATTAGTATTTACTTATGGTCAGTCTTTTTAGCCATGTAGTAGCTTTAAAAGGCAATCCAATCAATGTAAAACTTCTATCATTAGAAAAATAGCCATTTTCACCTGTTACATTAGGAAGACTTTGTTTAACTTAAATCGTTCAGTTAAAAATATTGTTTGAAAGATCAGGCTAAATTAGATAAGAGGGGAAAAAAACCAATATGTACCAATTTCAACATGCCCCTAAAAATTATGAAATAAATAATACATAACTTCTGACTATACTGTATGTTCTTGAAAATTACTGGCTTTGGACAATTTCTTCTGGTTTAATCAAAAAATTTCCTAGTTTTTGAATATTTTAAATTTCTTAAAAATTAGAAATTATTGCTATTACAAATTATTAATTGAAAAGTGTATTATTTCTGCATGTAAGTGTTGCATATGCCAATTATTTTTCAAGTAATAATAAAGCAATATGTTCCTCTTATGAAAGATTGTTATGTTATAAAAGTTATGTTTACCTCTATTGCCTCTTAAAGATTTTTCTAGTGTGTTTATAGCAGATATACAAAAGGTGTTTTGATTTGTGGATCCCCCCCCAAAAAAAGAAATTTATTTTGGGAGCCAATTTAAGTTACTTAAAGCTGTAATAATAAAAATGCAAGTTGTATTTATATTCTATTCATCTATTCAAAATTACATGCATGACTTATACATGCATAACTAATTTCTTTTAAAGATATTGAGATATTCTTTTGGGTGCAGATATTGAAAATAAATAAAAGTATTTAATGTGAATAAACTGTACAGGAATCACAAAGAAATTTATCATGGCACATTTATAAAAAATGAGAAAAATATGAAGGAGAAAAACTAGAATATTTAAAAAAATAATAATAATAATTTTCCTTAAAAGTTTATTTTTACTAATTTTGTTTAAGTTTTTACATTGATGGTTTTTATTGAGTGACTTAGTGTTTACTTACAGTTATGGTTTTATTAAGTTTCGAAAATTGTAAAATTTTTATTTACTTAATTTCCTTTTTAATTGTACAAATTTTTATCGAAATCACAAAAATTTATTTCAAAAACTTAAACAAAACTTGCAAAGGGCAATCAAGTCTGGGCTTTTTAAACAATAAGTAAGCAAAAGAACAAGGTGACCAATAAACAACAAAGTAACTCTGATGCAGCAATGTTTTTTTCTAAAGAAGGAAGAAAAAAAAGAGAATCTTTATTATTATTTTAGCTTTTTTACTTCATATACACATTGTATTTTAATTGCTTATTTTTGCCCACCACAACCTTCCTTATAGCCCAGAGTATATAGGTTGTGCATCATTTGTTTATGTCCTGTGTTAGTCTTTTCAATTAGGTAGCATAGCATTTTTGAAAAGTACTTAAAGGTGCTTATATGTAAGTTTTTTAAAAGCCCTTAAAGAGGCTTCTTTCATTTGTGGTTTGTAAAAAGTGCTTAATTTTCTATCTTTTAAAAAGAGATTTGTTTTTCTTTGCCTTGTCAATTGTCATTCTAAATTACAAAAAAAGGCATGATCTTCACAATTTTTTCTGCTATATTTATCAGAAACTAGTTATTTTATCATGATTATGTAAAGTTTTTGAAAAACTTTTTGAATTTTATTGATTTTGTGCTTATAAATTAAGAACTTTAAATGATAGAAAATAAAATTTTTTATTCCTGCACATTTTTTTTGGAAAGTGATTAAAAATAATTTTTAAATACTTAAAAGGTGCTTATTTTTTCTCGAAAAATCTGACTACTCACCCTGTCAATCTATTTTTTATTTTATTTCAGTGAGGTGTTAAGGGCGTATAACATTCCAATGGATTACATTACTGTTGCCATAATTATGTACAATTTTGGTGTTGTTGGAATGATTTGCATACACTGGAAGGGACCCCTGCTTCTGCAACAGGCCTATCTCATCCTTGTTTCTGCTTTGATGGCTTTAGTTTTCATTAAATATTTACCTAATTGGACTGCATGGGTTGTACTCGGAGTGATATCGATATGGGGTAAGTTTAAGAAAAAGAAGAAGAAAAATATTATAGCATACCTGCCAAGGCTCCTATTTTTTAACAAAGACTCCTGTATTTTAGGACTATTTTCTGTTTACCGGTATGTTCTCAATGTTCTCCGTTTTTGTCAAAGAAATTAAAAAAATAAATTGGGCAATTAAATAACCGCTCATGGCAAAAATACTTTTCTTATTCCTCAGCAGATGGTGCTATTGACAGTACTACAGTATGTTGAGTGTTTATAGTTTAAGTAATTATAAATAATGGTTTAAAAATGTTCTATAGATTAAGATTTACAGTCAAACCTCGTTAATTCGACACTCTGGGGACCTCTGAAAAACTGACGAATTAAGCGGAGTGACGAATAAACCGGAGTTGCATTGTTTTTCAAAAAATTGGGAAAATGCCGATAAATTAACAATTATCAATACAGCAGCGAAATTTCAATTTCTTAAAATAAAAAAAAAAACGTTAAAGAATTAACGCAATTAAGAATTAACGCAGCATTAAAACAATTCAATTAAAACATAGCATCAGTAGAAAGACAAACAGTATGGTTTACATACTTGTCCGAATTCCGTTACCCCCTCGTAAGGTCAGAGAAAAGGAGCATTATTGCAACTCTTTCTGCAAGAGGTGATGGAAGGAAGGGTGAGACAAAAGGGCAGGGAAAAAACGCTTCCAGTGTCCGAATTCCAAGAACCAGTTGCCTAGTGCGAATGGCAAAATTAGCCAAGTGGAAATTTCCGCAAAAGTTGACTGGAGAAAAGCAATTTCCCAGTGAAAACATTCTTTAAAGTGTCATTTTATCCGGAGTTCATAATTTCCCCTTGACGTATTAAACGGAGTTTGCTAACACTGAATGCAATGCAAATCAATCGGGACTTGAAAAAAAGCGTCGAAATAACCGGAGTGACGAATTAAGCGAGTGTCAAATTATCGAGGTCGGACTGTATATACATATTTTTTACTTCGCTTTATGTAGGCGCTTATATTATTTCCAACTTTGACTGCCTCTTTTTGACTTACTTGATTGTGCATGACGTATCAAAACCTTACATGTAGCCCACTAGTAAAATCTCCAAAATTTTATTTCTCCAATGTTGGCAGGTATGTAATAGGCATCTTGGAATTAATGCATAAAAAAAGGATTTTCTTATATTAAACAGTTGGAAGTGCGGTTGCAATTTAGAACATTGAACTTTACGTTGCATTCTGTTTTGCTGCTCAAAAGCTATTTAACTATTATGAAAGCATGTAGAAATATGTACAGGGAGTAGAATGTAATAAAGAAAGGTTAATGTTCAATAATTAATTTTGGAATTATTAACTGTATTGAAAAATGCCATGCAGGCCATTCTACAGATCGCTGAAATGTAACTTTGATTTTGGTATGATTATGTTAAATGGTTTTGTGACCAATGGCATGATGGTTACAATGTGGTCATGATTGGGTACAAACTGCTATTACTTACTTGCTGATACCATTGATCCAGAGCTAGGTGGGCTTCAAGTCTCTAAAACCTCGTAGCTGGCACTGCTGATGAGGTTAATTACAGAAAATGACATTAGGTAATGGGACTTTACTGGCACATATGCACTATTTTTATTAAAATATTTAGTAGGTAACCATTTTGCTTGAATGTTGCTAATTTTGTTTTGATATTATGTATGTTTTTGTCTGTTTTTTTATGGGGGGGTCATAAAATAGCATACTTCATCATAATTGTGATATTATACATCGTTTTTATTGCAGTTTTTTTAAAAATTAGTTAATTAACTTTTTGTTAAAAAAGTAACTGAAGCAAGTAAATAGAGCTGTAAAAATCTTTAAATACTAATAATTAGTCTTCTGGATTCAATGATAATACTTGGATTTAATTTAATAATTTGGATACTAATAATAAGTTTTAGTCTTTTGGATCAGTAACTAAATTTTCTTATTCTGTACCTTTGAGCTATCATTTTTTTTTTGGCAACATTCTATAGCACAAATTTTAAATCTTGCATGAATTTGTGAACAACTTTTACACATACATATAGTTATGCTTTTACTTTCTTTCTTTTTTTTTAAGAAAAGAAAAGTGTTTAGTTTTTTAAAATTTGTACTATACTGTTTTCTACTAATGTACCTTTATTTATATAATTATTTTTCTTATTGCAGATTTAATTGCAGTTTTGTGTCCCAAAGGACCCTTAAGAATTTTGGTTGAAACTGCACAAGAAAGAAATGAACCCATTTTTCCTGCACTGATATATTCTTGTAAATATGTATTTAATTATTTTTTTGTAATAGAGGATGTTTCAGCACATAGTTTACAAACTTGGCAGTGTTAACATTATAAAGATTGCGAATTGTATTGCAATCTGAGTTGGAACTTTTATTTATGTTTTGCACTTTGAGTAATCATTGCCAGTAATTGCAATAAAATAGCTTACCTTCCAACTTGTACGAAATCTCTATAGTCTTAAAAAATATTTTTCCTAGTGGTAGCAAAGGATGTGTTAATAAATTAGATTTAAAAGAATTTTGTCTAACACTAGAGATAAAAATTTATACACATATATAAAAAGTCAAATTTACAAATTATTTGGCATTTGAGTTCTAATAAAAATTCTTTAAAATGCTACTTCTTGAAAATGTCTGCTTTTGTTTACTATTCCTGGAAAAAAATATTTCCTCAAAACCTAAAATGTTGGAGGGTGTAAAATAGTCCCATGTATAGTCAGTTTATGTAGTTTAATTATTAGGTGATGATTTAATTTAAATTTTAATTTAATTATTAATAATTTAATTTCAATTAATTAAACTTTTAATTTACCATGTTGATTGTTAAATTGTGATAAAACAGTGAAATCTGCACCTATTTGAATTTAATTTCTTATAATTACTAAAGAATTTAGTATTAATATAAAATTTAAATAATTTAAATAAAAAAGAATTATGATTTAAATATGCATGAACAAGTTTCTAACAGGGAGGTGCTTTTAATAACATTTCCCTTCCAAGTTTGTAACTGTTGTACTAAATCACTGTGTGTATATTTTCCCAAGATCTCTACAGAAAGTGGCATGTTTGTTTTATAAAATGTAACTGTCAATCCTACATTGGAATGATAGTGGTTCATGATCGTTCCAACATTGGATTTCTAAGACACTATGATTGAAATTCGTGATGGTTCAACATTAACAAACCATCAAAACAAGTTGCTATTCTTATGTTGGACCATCATAAATGAGTCCGAATTCCTACATTGAGGTGATGGTTACTTATGTTGGTCGCCATCAAGAAATATAATGATTTATGATGGAATTATCGATAGTTACCATCAAGATTACGTCGGACCAACAATGGAAAACCATCAGAAATTTGGACTTGGGTGAAAGAATGGTGTCAGGACTATTATAAATCTTCCTTATGTCACTACATCTTATTCTTAAAGTCTTCACAAATGACATTGATTGAACTTCAACATTTGCTTGTGTGAACAAAGTTTGTACGATCGCTGAATCTAAATCTGCCTTCACCTGTTGACAAGCTGGTAAAAATTACATCAAGATTATTAAAAACAAAATAATAGTGCTAGTACAAAAAATAAATAATGGTGAAGTGAAAAATAGAGTTTTGATTGGTTTCAGGAAAAATTAGTCGTTCAATAGTTGGTGTAAAAAAATATACAAGCAGGGCCCAACTTTGCCTAATTGTTTTCCTGGGCAAAAACTTCTTTGGGGCCTTCCTCTGCTTTACTACTTCAGTAATGAAGAACCGAACTTTATGGAGGTATTTAAATTTTTCACCTCATTATGGATATATAACAAGAAAATTGACTAGAACCTTAAATAGCTATAAAGTCCCCCTTTTGTCAGATGAAGTATCATTCTGTTTATTTTATTGGTTTTCTGACAATTTTATGTTCATCATGCCGAATGCAGTTTTCTGATTGTTTACTTTGTCACCTATCTGCAAAAAATTCATATCCTTGCTGACATTAAGGCGGAAGTGAGGTAAATTTGCGCAATCACGATGGCTCAATCAAGCCAATCAGAAATCAGTATTTTTGTAAACATATTGCAGTATGTAAAAATGCAGACTTCCTTTTTGTCATTAGCTAAATTTGACCTTCGTCGTTCCGAAAGTTTAGCTGAATTCTGCCCTAGAAAGCCATGGCTTTACGAAATATGGATTTTTTGTGTTCATGTGATAGATTACTTAAGAAGCTAAAATAAAACTCACGGATTTTGAACTGTACTAATATTCTGTTTTAAAAAAGTTTGTTTCAGAAGGAAACGTAAAATAAACTCTCTATTTGATTTTGACCCCCTTCTGATGTAGGGCCCAGGAGCAACTGCCCTGTATACTCCTGTCTTAGTCTATCTCTCTATACAAGGTTCCAAAACAATGTGTTATTTTCATATTGTTTTCTAAATGAAAGACATAAAATAATAAAAAAATAACCAAAGGATTGATTTAATCTATAGGCTATTATCAAGGAAAGATAAATTTTGCTGACAGTAAACTATAAATTTCTAAAAGTTCAGTAAACAATTCTAGACAGTATTATTTAGTCATAAAATAAGTTCAGTCTTGAAATTTTTTTAGAGTGGTCGCATCTATAAAAAAATGTTAGTTGCTGTTTTTTGTTAACAAAGGCTTTGCAAATGAAAGCAAACGTTTTCATAAAATGTTATTCCACATTCTTCCAAAAATGTATACTGAATATATAAATTACAACTTTGAAAATAGCAAATAAAAGAATTTACTTACCATGTTTCAGATCTATTGAAAAAGTATGTTTAAGTATTTTAACTTTATACAAATAGTTTTAGACATGGTTTCAAACAAATATAACTATATACCTTAGAGCATTTGTTAGGATATTTAAAAAAACTCATAAGTATAAAATATATTATATTTTCTTTTTACTGTTAATTATTATTTTTGTGTCCTTTTTTGACATTTGGGTTATGAATTAGATTTTAATTAATAATCATTTTATGAATTTTTTTATTATTTAATAATTTTTTTTCTTCTAATTTTTACAGCTGCTATGGCTTGGATCGTCAATATGAGTGACACAGATCGCTCTAACCAAGGCAAAAATCATTCTAGCAATCATGTTAATTCATCAGGTGATTATCATAATTTATTATAATATTGCTTTTCAGTTCTGTTTTCACATTTTACTTATTGCATTGTATTCGGGAGAAAACTGTTGCAAATTAATCTGAGCAGATGTTTTTAGCCGATTAATTTATTTTAAAATTTGAGGTTTTGATGAACATATAAAATATGTTAGATTCAGGAAATAAATCTTTGTTACTGTTATCTTACTTAGTCCCTGGGTTGGCATTTGATCCGGAAGAAACTTATTTCTTCCGAAACACTGGACAAAGCTTTAAAAAAAATAATAATAACAGAAGGAACTGGAAAAATGTAAGAATCCTTATAAAATAGGGGGAAAAACAAAGCAATGAGTATTATAAAAATAGCTTAGATTTATTAAGCAAATTAAATTCAATATATTACCAGAAAGTAAACATTTTTTTTACGTTAACTATAAAGAAATTTATTTATATTTTATATAAAATTTTAAAAATCCACATATGTTATTCTACATTTTTCCATTGGTTTTAGTATTTATACTTAGTATTTGATTAGTAAAATTAGTTTATTTGCAATTGTGATTTAAATGTGTTTTTTTTTTCTTTCAAAGTGTAAATGTTTAGCATGGGATTTGAATATGATATTTTAACAGTTCTTAATATAATTATGAAATTAGGCTTTACTTTACTCATTAATGTAAAACATTGAAAAACTGTACTTATTTTAATTTCTTAAAAAATTATTTAAATTGATCTTTTTCAATTTTTTTTCCTTATTTAAATAAATTTTGTATTAAATAGCTTGAAAATCAATACTATTATTTAAACAACACTGCAGTTATGTACCAAAGAAATTGTTCTAATGTTAGATATTACTTTTTGAAAAAGAGTTTATTCCATTTCTTTCACTTGGTTTGGAAAAAATTTATTTTTTCTCGGGGTGGTTTTTTACCTCTCGAGAAGAAACTTATCGTCCTTGCTTATTCCCATAGTTTTTTGTATTAATAAAAGAAAATGGATCTTGTGTATATAATCTAAGTACATAAGTGATAGATATATAATAGGTAATTATTTCTGAAAACCAATTAAATAGTGACCAATAAGTTGAATAATTGAATTTAGTGTTTACTTATAGTCAGTCTTTATAATCATGTAGTAGCTTTAAAAAGCAATCCAATCAATATTAAACTTCTATCATAAGAAAAATAGCCATTTTCACTTGTTACATTAGGAAGACTTTGTTTAGGTTTAATTGTTCAGTTAAAAATATTGTTTGAAAAATCAGGCTAAATTAGATAGGAGGGAATAAACCCAATACATGCCGATTTCAACATGCACCAAAAAGTTGTGAAGTAAAAAATACATAATTTTTTACTATACTGTATTTTCTTGAAGATTACTGGCTTCGGAAAATTATTTGTGGTTCAATCAAAAAATTTCCTAGTTTTTGGATATTTTAAATAGTTTCATAAATATTAGAAATCTCCTGGAAAAATTACCTATTATAATGGCTCTTTTTCTTAGTTGGTGTGATTTATTTAAATCAGTATGAGTGATTAAATCAGCCTTGTTTTTGCAAATCAATTTGAAGATTTTCTTAATATTTTAGAGTGTTTGGTTTCCACTATTAAAATAATACATTATAATTATCTATTACTATTACAAATTGTTAACTGCAAAATGTTACAGACATAATTTTATTTTATATTCAAAGTCATTTATAAATGGAAATATTGCTTTTAGTTTCAATTTTTAGTTATTAGTATATTATAATTTTTATATGTTATTGATTATAAATCAGGGTTGGGTTTTGGGGTCAAAAACTAGTCTTGGTCAAAACTAGAACTTGGAAGACTCATCCCAAATGCAAAAAGAACTTGCAAGTGACTCAGCAAGTGATGTCACATTGGAAATTATCCAAAAACAACAAAGTTGGGTTCCATGCAAACTGAAGCCAAGAGACATTGAACGTCGATTTTGCATGAAAATTGATTCTGCTATTTAGAAACACTTTAATGGGAAGTCCTACCCCACCCACCATATTTGCCAGACCTTTCCCCTTCAGATTATCACCTACTCCAGTCGATGGCACATGGTCTGTCTGTTCTTCAAACAATTTACATTGTTTGAAGAAACCAAGGAATAGGTCGATTCGGGGTTATTCCCTAAATATGAAGAGTTCTTCCGACGTGGTATCCGAATGCTCCCATGGGGAAAAGTATTGTCTAGTAATGGAGAATACTTTGAATAAAAGATAATGTATCCTTTTTTCGCAATAAACTACTTATTTTTGATAGAAAACTGCAGAAACTTATTTGTACACTCGATATAATATTAAAATTTAGAATAAGATGACCGTTTTTCCATTTTTATTTTCTACAATTAAATAATTATAATTTGAATTTTACATAATTTTATTTCTCTATAATATTTTATACACCAAATATAGGTTTTTGATATTAATTGCCAAATTAAAGAGAGTAATGTCAAAATAATTCAAGAACATAATTGATTAATCACTTGCAATTTAATATGTGTGTTTATTTATTAATACTTCATATTTATAATAGCAAATAATTATCATTACACAAAGATTTTTGGGTTTTCCACAATTATTAAATACTATATCAAAAAGGGGGTTTTGATATGACAGTTCAAACCACGTAAAACCATCAATTGTCAAAACCTTGCCAACCCATTTAAATATCTCTGTAATCCCTTGTGTTTCTTTAAAATATTTTAGACATTGAAATTCATAGCATTTGATTTTGTTTTATATTGGCCTCTAAAATTAGTGGTAATCTTTAAAAGAACGTCATACCATGGAAGAAAATTTTCATCGCAAATTATCTTTTTCCTTCATTACATAATTTAAACTAGAAAAAGTGAGTTGAGACAAACCTAAAGTAAGGCATGAGGATTCAAATACTGAAAAAAAATTTTTTTAATACATTACAGAAAATGAATTTTGAAATGCTAACTTAGAATTACGCAATAGATAAGTTTTCTTCCAATAATTTGTTTGCATTTTAATATTTTCAATTATTTTTTTTCAGCAATTGAAACTTCTTAATTTACTCTAGGGTTGCCTCAACTTACTTTTCTTTCCTTTTAAATTTCAATTTGGTAATGAAGGATAAAGAGCAACAAAAATTGGTATGGTGTCCTCTTAAGGGGAAAAAAACATTCTAATAAATTATTTTCAAAATCAGGCTTAGGTTTTCACACAGAGTTTGACATCTACTTACACATTAAATGTATTATTTTTCCCAGATCTGACATATTCAAAAGCAGATTCTTTAATTTTAATTAACAATGCTAATAATGTTCTAAAAATTAAATTTATTTTTTTGGTCTTCTAAAAATTATGTTTAATGTAAATTTCAAATACTTGATATTGTCATTCAATTGAAATTTCTGGAAGTTTCCATCATAGCTAATTTTATAGTTGTAAGAAGTTTAAAGTTATATCATGTAAATTTAAGTCGACTTAATTCTTTTCTCCTTTTCTTTTATCTTTTTGTCTGATTTTTTATCCACTGTCCTGGTAAAAAACAATTTTTATTGTCAAAAATGTGCTTATTTTAAACCTTATGACTAGCCAATAAGGTTCAAAGTAAGTAAATTTGACATCTATCTTTATTATTTCTTGTAAAATGCTGCAACATTGTTTAATGTGTTAGATTAATTAAACTTAGAATATTATTTAGTACAAACTGCTTAGTTTAATTTTTAAAAAAAATTCTTTCAAGATATTTATTTATTTTTTAAAATTAAACTTTCTGCATTAATCTAGTTTTGTTCTTAATCGCAAGTAAGATGTATGGTGACTAACTACCTTACTGGTAGAACTTTATCCTTAAACAAAGTTTTAGTGCAAAATATCGCTCTTTTAGTAATTGTTGTATATTCTAAACTCTTCTTGTTAAATCACCCACTCACATTTATTTTCTTTTTCAAATTGCAATATTTGACATTATTTCTATTAAAATTGAACCTCCTTGCTCAGTATACATAGCTGAAAACTCTACTGGATTTTGCCAGTTTCTACTGGTTTAATAAAAATTCTCCCAGTTTTTGTGCATTTTAAAATATTCTCTAAAGTTTCCTAAAAAAATCCCTATTGAAATAGAATTTTTTGCGCAATTTATTGCTTGCCTGAAAATTTATATAAGTATTGCTATTATAAAATGAACCAAACCTCATTTATAGTAATCATTTAAAAGCTTACATCATGTTTTTAACTGCCCTGCAGTCGCTGCAGACCTTCACCTCTTAAACTACCCCACAGAAGAGAATTTGTATTCTTTTAATGCCATAGAAATAACAAAAACTATTCAAGCACACCATGAAATATGATTCAATAGAGGATACGACACCAACCAACCATTTAAAAGCTTTTCTTTTTATTTTGTTCTAAAATTTTCAGTTTATTTTTAGTCAGAGCTCAGTTTTTAAATTAATTGAAAAAATCTTTCAACCATCATTAATAAATTGTCTATTACTCTTCAAAATTATGATTTAACATAATAAAAAAAACATCCCAAGCTCATTTGATGTTGTTCATAAATGGTAAATATTGCAGACCATTTATAGTTATTAGTGTAATAAAGTTTTGTATTTTGTTGACAACGAAAATCCTTAAAACTCCCTATATGTAAAATATTTAGTACATTATGTAACAGTTATCATGAAATTCATATTATTTTGTAAAATCTACTGGATTTTTCCCTTATGTATGTTGAGAGTATATGTATTGAATTTGCAGAAAATACTGATGGTCTGAGTGATGCTCCTGAAGAAAATGGTCCCCATAATTTAGGAGGAGCGGAGACTTCGCCTGAAGGAAGACCACTTGGAGCGGGTGGGTGGTCTTCTCAAAACAGAAGTCAGTCTCTGCCTACTCGGTTGCCATCTCAGTGTGAAGGTCACGAAGAAGAGGAACGTAAGTTACCATTATTTTTCCCTGATTATTGTTAAATTCAACTGTGTCTTTACGATCAGTCCCGCAGCGGACTGATCATAAAGACACAGTTTCCAGTAAAACACTGAAATTAAGCATCACTGCCTGTGGTCAATAAGTGGGTGGTTCACCACTTTGATCAGCCTGTGTAGAGGCCGAGGATGCTCGGTATCGGTCCTCATTATACTATTCGACCATAAAGTGATCGACTTTGCGTACATGTCGCTGGGCTATGAAAGCAGGGGAACTATCTCCTTTTCAGAGGATCAAAATTGCGATAGCTGGTCTTCGGATCTTCCTCAGGGATGTTTTCCGAACCATTGCCAATAGCCCATTGTGCAGTTCAAGTGCGACAAAAATAAAATATGCACACCTGAGGCAGAATTTGTTTTGGGCTTTCTGCAATAAACTTCCCTAGCACTAATATTTTGCTTTAAGATACTTTTAATTATAACAATTACTAATTTAAAGTAACAAAAAGGTTTACAGAAGAGAGTATAAAATAAAAACTTTCAAATGTAAAAGTAATATTTTATTTTATTTTAATATTATAAGCAATATTCTCTATTTTGGAGGTGGAAAAATGCTCTAATTATTTCCCCCTTCAAATTTTGTAAGTCATTACACAAATTAAAATTCGTAAATAAATTAAAAATCGTAAAATCAATACAGTAACTCCCAAAATAATGGCAATGTGAATAGAACTCTTTAAAAAAGAGATACTCAAATAAGTGTATCTAAAATATAGTGTTCTTTAAAGGAAAGAAAGAACATCATTTCTAGAACGAACTATCTAACTTTCACGATTTTTGAATTTTTTATTTTATATTATTAATTTGAAAATCTAGCTGAAGCTAGTCATTACCAATTTTTTTTAAAAATCTCTACCAAGAATAGAAAAATCATGATTATTTCTTTTATCTCTAATGCACAAGAAAGGCATCTTTGAAAGAAAATTCTGCACTAAAAAAAAAAAAACATTTTTCATAAATTTATGCAAAAATGTAAAACCAAAATTTATCGCTTCCCAAACGAAAAATCTTTATGCAAAAACTCTGTAACGTTCTGAGACAGTGTGGCCGTGTCGTCACAATTCTGCCATAGAGTTATCTACCTACCTCATAATTTATATGTGTAATTATATTTATTGATCCTCATAATTATATTTATTTATTTAATGTGTAATTATATTTATTGATCCTCATAATTATATTTATTTATTTATATATTTTACTTGCAGTGTATTTGTTAACTAATTCAAAGCTTACTAATGAAATATTTATATTGTTAGAATGCAGGTATTTTATGTGTGTTTTTGAACTTAAGTCAAGTCTTTAAATTTGTAATTTATAGTGTTACTCATCTTGTTGGTGTTTATAAACTGGCTTTGAATGATCTGGTTTTTTACTTTCAGCTTAATTTGTGTTTTTGAACTGAGCTTAGATTATTAAATTTTGTTCTCATACTCTATGCCATAGATCGCCAAACTTTTTTGATCATCGACCCCTAAATAATTTTTCTAAATCTCCATCGACCCCTATAAGAGTAATTTTCTCTTAATTAAAATAAAACTCTATTAGATACTGTGTTTGTACATTTATTTTATGATTTTAAACATTTATTAAAGTAATATGACATTGTGTAACAATAGTTTTATGAAAAATATATTAATGTTGAAATTTAAGTACCTTAATATTTATTAAATAATAAGTAATTATAAATAAGTAGATATAATAAGTAAAGTAACTACAGATTTATTGCTTCTTAGTCAATAAGATGGGTATGCCTGGTGTTTTTTTGCAAGGTTCGCTATATTGGGTTCAAAATTGATCAATTTTAATCTTAAATCCCCTCGAAACTCCACATTTAATTTATTTCTATACTTAGTTAAGATTGAATTTACGTGACTGAAACCGGCTTCAACGATATAGGAACAATTTTAACTCATCACATTAAAAAAAAACAATGATTAATTTAATGATTTGCGATTTTAAAAAGATTTAAAATAACAATGAAGAAATAAAATCTTAATAAAGTAAACGAATAAAATAATAATGACATTTTCTGCTAGCATTTTTATATATGCTGATTATTAGAATAGAAACAATGGTCCTACAAACCATCTTTATTATTGAATATAGAATTTCTGTTGTATAGATGCTTTGAAACTTAAATTAATCATCAATACATATTTTTTTTATAATTTGTCTATTATTGTAGCTGCATTTAATTCCTTTCAGTGCAGGAAGAAGAAAAAAACATCAGTGACAATACAACTACTAGTTGTGTAAAAATATAAATTGATAGCACTGCTGGATATTTTAAATTATAGTGGTTATATAGATGCTTTAATTATTGCAGGAGCTGCATTTTTTCTCTCAATAGTTAAAATATATTCTTTTAATCCTTTAACTGTTAACCAAGATACTAATTGTTTTTTTGTTTTTTTTTGTAATGTGTTTGGCTAGGAAATTTTTGTATACAATTTCTCAAAATTTAAATCAGTTAATGGGTGAAAAAATGATCCAAAATAAAAAATTTTTATCTTGAAGAAAACAATGTATTTTAATGAAGCTCTTAGTTTTTGATACATGCTTTAAACCTATTTATCTGTCTGTCAGTTATTGATGTATTTTGTAGTTATTCCATAAAAAGTTCTAAAAATTTAATGTTTATATAATATTGGAAATATTATATAAAATTTAATGTTTATATAATCTCTTATTCATCTCTTATATAAAGATCTATTTCCAATATTATATAAACATCTCTTGTTCATCTCATATTCATTCTCTCTTATTCATAATATTGGAAATAGATGTTTATATAATGTTTAAAAGTGACCTTGTTCGAAAACAATTTTAATTTTTATAAGTTTAGTTTTGATTATAATTATGATTATAAAAGAAATATTGCATTTATTATTTTGAAAAAATATAAGAGTAGTAAAAAGCAAATCTTTACTAGGTCAGTGCATGTTCAAGGTTTAAGATATTTTTAGCTGCAAATGACTTTCAGTCAATTTTAGATTAGTATTGAAAAACTTATGTTACTATTTTAGGTGGTGTGAAACTAGGTTTGGGAGATTTTATATTTTATAGCGTGTTAGTGGGAAAAGCATCCTCTTATGGTGATTGGAATACAACATTAGCCTGCTTTGTCGCAATATTAATTGTGAGTATGAGTTTAGATATTAAATTGAAAATATTTTTGTATTGAATTTAATCGGTTGTTGTTTGTTTATCTATTTATTTATTTATAATTTTGATGCTTTTAAGCTAACTATTAGTTCGTTTTATAAGTTTTCTTAAGTATTTAACTGGCTTAAAGTAGTTTTTGCAAGATAATTTGAAAATAAAATAAGAATTTCCTCTAGTGTTTAACTGACGTAAGGCAGTTTTCAAAAGAGTGTTTTGGAAATGAAATAAAAAGCAGAGGAAAATAAAAAAAGAAATGATAAGTTAAAAAAGAAAGAAAAAAAAGAGGAGAGAAACATTGTTTAAGGGCATTAAACTTAAATTGAAGTTTAATTTCTTACTATGCATATCATTTTAACTCAATTAAAAACAAGTCAATTAAAAAAAGCAGAAATGTTTTGAATAAATTACTTAAACTAGAAATTTTGAATAAAATTTTTTAATTATCTTAATTTGTATTTTTTTTAAACCACAGGTTATAAATTTTAGTTTTGGTTGCGGAAAAACAGAATTTTTTTTTTTAATGCTATGGAACAATTTAAATTTTCTGTTTTAAATGAGCTTATATTTCTTTTACATATTTTGCCCTAAATTTTTTATACATATATATTTTTTAAATCTATTTTGCAGTCTCAGGACATATTGATATTTTCAAGTATATGAGCTTGTTTGTCCTTTAGTTATATCGTCAGAAAATTATCAAGAAACTTTAATAAATTCTGATTTTCAGTTTTTATGCATATACATTTATTTAAGCATATTTAATTGTTTGGCAAAAAAAAAATTTTTCACTGCGAATGTATTATTTACAAGAGGCATCCTTTTAAAAGTAACAATACCATTTTTTTAATATACAAAAAAAAAAAAAAAAAAAAAAAAAAAAAAAAAAAAATACTTTTGCATGAAGCTTCCTTTTAACAGACTTTTATTTATTTCCTACAATTAGTTCACATTCTCTTCCTATATCTTGTTCAAATTTTCAATCGCTAATAAAATACTTTTGTATTCATTCATTCAAGTGCAAATAAACTTGTAAACTTGTAACATTTGATGTTAATACGGTTTTTTTAATTCATTCATTAAATTTGATTGCTTAATTTAGTTTTATATGGGAGAAAATTTTTTAATTATTTAATAAAAAGTAACCAAAATAAGATTTTTTTTCCCTTTGTTGACCTAAGCAGCAATTGACTTTAATTTTTTTTATTTACATTACTTGTTAATAATAAAAATGATAAAAAATTTTACTTGGATATACTTGGTTTACTAAGATTTTGGCTGCCACTTATTAACTATTTAAGCATAAATTTCAGACTTGATAATCATGAGATAATATTTTTTAAAATTGGGACAAAAGTTAAAAGAATTACTGCAACTTAAAATATTTTCAAGAGAGAAAATATTTGAAATGTTTTCAAAATTCCTAAGTTCCCATAATTATCACTATGCAACAAGCATTTAGTTTTAGGTGAAATTTTTAAACGTACTACCATGTACATTCAATTTGTTTCTTGCAATTTGGTTAAAAAATAAAGGATCTATATTTACCATTTTTACCAACAAAATATTTTAACATACGCTGGCAATTTTGTATTTTATTATGTTCCTTGTAAGTTTAAAAACAAGTCGTAAATTTGTTACAAGAAATTTAATTGCAGGAGTGTCAAAAAATTTAAAAAAATGGTAACTATTTTATTTCTGATAACTAAAATTTTAAACAAACTTTTAAGTTTTAAAAATACAGAGCTAGAAATGCATACCTAACTATTAAAAATGTGCTTTGGTAGTTAAGAATGTGTTATTTAACTTGAGAAGAAATAAAATTAAATAGTTTTAACACTCTACTTTTTTAAATGCAGTTTGCACAACTATAATTGTAAATTTTACATAATCTTCATTTCTTTTGTAGAAACAATCATTAGAAACTTTAGTTGCCATATAAGTGCATTCAAACATATAATTTTGTGTAAAAAATTGCACCAAAAAGGATTTTTTTCAACCCAGCAAAAGTTTAACAAAAATTGATTCTTCTGTTGACATATATTTTTATTATGTTTCTGTATTTAAAATGTGGAGATTTCTTAATAAAATTTAAAATGTGAGAGATTATAATTTAAAATATTTTTTGAGGTTTTATGTATTTTTATAGAATTTCATATCTATGGATAGAAATTCTGAAAAATAATCATTTATTCCATAATTAAGCATAATAATAATTCATAAAATTAAACAGTTTAGGATTGCACCTTTAAAAAAAGAAAAATGAACTGAAGGTGTTTTCCTTTCCAATAATAAAACTTAACTTTTGGAGCACCTGCTTTTCTTCTTCTCAGTTTATGAATAAACCAAGTCATGCTTTAGACCTGGTTTACATTTAAAAAAATGGCTGGGCATGGCGCTTTTGCACAACATTATGTGCCCGGAATTAGATACGTTCATAAGGCTATACTGGGTCACTAAGAAATTTATATCAACTAAAATTTTAAGAAAAATTTCCTCTTAAAAAGTCTAGTAATTTCTTATTAAATTTTTATTTATTATATCTAAACTCTTTTTGCATTTGAAATTTGTTCTATTAATATTTGATTTACTATTTTTAATTCTTTCTAAATTGTGTTTGCGACATGGATGCCACTCTTCTGGCCTGGGGACTGAAATCTGTCTTGCAAGAAAATCAGTAGATTAAGTTTCATAAATTAATATCTTTTTTACTATTAGACGTTCTATTTTCCTTCAAAGTGTAGCAAATATTTTCTTATAAATAAAAATTGCATATTAATGTAAACATTGTTAAATATCATGATTATTACGAAATGATCTAGTTTTGAAAATAAGATCGAACTTCATCGCCTGCTTGCTTAAACAAAATGTGTACTATTGTATCAAAATTTTCTTGATTTTATTTTTCCTCAACGTTTTGAAATGCTGACCAATGTTAAATTGAGATTATTTTCTTTTTTAAATTTTTTTTTTATATAGATAGGACAAAAAGTAAATAATGATGAACTGAAAAAATAAGTGGAGATATGTATAGAAAAAACTAGTGGTTCCTTATTCAGTAATTGATGTAAAAGATGTGCAAGATTAACTGTTATTTTTATATTGTTTGCTGTAAAAAATTAATAGAATGAAGAAATAGTAACTAGTAGATAATTGGTTTAATATATGAGTCCTTATCATAGAAACAGGGCATGTGCACACCTGGAAAGTTATAAAAAATCATGAATTTCAGTATTGAACAAAATTTTTCATGATTTTAACTATTTTTTTAAAGAAATCATGGAAAGTCATGGATTTAGGTTGCCGAAAAATCGAATTCACCCCCACCCCTCTGAATATCTGAATTTGTAACAAAGTTCCCACTCATAGTCAAAATGTTTTTATCCTGTTCTTTAAAAATTATGGTGTTCTTTCAAAAAATGAAAGTAAAAACATTATTTCTATAGTGAATTGTCTTTTAAACTTCCATGATTTAAGCATTTTTTTTATCTATTATTATTATTTTTTTAATCAATTTGAATTTCTAGTTTAGACCTTTTTATATTACACTTACTTTTAAGAAGAAATAAAACAGGTTTAAATAACTACATATATGTGACTGTATTGTGTTACTTGCTTTTGCATTTTTTTCAGCTATTTTATTGCTTCAACTCTTTCTTTACTCTGTTTTTTTAGTTTAAAATCTAGAAATATGAAGACTCAGAGTATAACAGTTTTGGTTATAACTATCATTTCAATGAATGTTATCATAATGCTTCTTTAAATTTATTGTTGTGTTTTTGTCGGAGAAATTAGTAACTTCATTAAGTCATAAAAATTTCTTGAAATCAGTCATATAAAGTCATGAATTTGAAAATCTAAAATGTAGCAGATACCCTGTGACTTGTATTTACGATTCCTAATACAAACTATTTATTTATTTTACTCAAGGGTTTGTGCCTGACTTTGTTGCTGCTGGCAATTTTCAAGAAGGCTTTACCAGCTCTACCCATTTCCATCACATTCGGGCTCATCTTCTACTTCACAACCAGTTCCTTGGTTCAACCGTTTGCCGACAGCCTCGCAAGTGAACAAATTTATATCTAGTATTCCAAAACTTTCACCCCTGTGATGTGTACATTTTCACCATTTTGTGTGCTTAAATTATTCTATGTGTGTAATTGAAACAGGGTTGCCACTCCACCGGGAAAACCAGGAAAATACAGGGAATTAAAAAATAAACTAAAATAATAGGAAAAATGCCGGGAATTTTGATTTTTTTTTTCTTTGCAAACTGGGAAAATGCAAGGTAATTTTGTTTCTCATTTTCATCTTTTAAAAGAGGGTGGGCACTCAAAATTTTATCTATGGGGTATTTAAGGATGATATTCCAACTATACTAAACTATTTCATTTACTATATCATTATTAAGTATGTTTCTTTTTTTCTCTAAGTTTCCCCAGCAATTAAAACTATAGCCCAATATAGTTCACACAAGAGCACAGTTATTGTGTTTCCTCTTAATATATTGTGTATAATAAATATGTACATGGAAAACACATGTTTCCAGATTTAAGTAGCAGCCCTGTAAAAACCTTTTTATCTGTATAATTAGAAGGATTTTATGTGTATAATTTATAGCTTTTTATGTGAATGTGGTGTGGAAATGAAATTGTTTTGAAGTCTATATAAGCCATTATCATTTGATAGAAATTGATGTATCTATTAAAAGTCATTTAATAATTTGAACCACTTTTATCAATTTGCTTAAAATGTAGTTTGTAATGAAAAATTTTTTTTGTTTTCTTTTAATTTGAATAAATTTCTTATTTTTATTGTAATTTCGCTCTGTTTCTGTAAGCAAAAGCATTGAATTTTAAATGAATATTTTGTTGGATTCATTTAAAATTTTATCCTTTTCTTGTTGTTGTTGTATTCATTATATTGTAAAACAGTGATCACGACGACGTACCACAAAAGAAACTTTTTTTGTTCTCCCATAGCTAATTGAAAGTGTTGAAAGTTTGCATTTCGATAGTTTGATTTTTTTTTCAGCAATTGAAACTTTATGGCTTACTGTAGGTTTGACGAAGCTAACTTTATCTTATATTAGAAAGTATTTCATTCAGGTGGGGAAGAGAAATTAGTAACTTAGGATTATGCAATGGGGAATTTCTCTTCCTCTACTTGTTTGCCTTTTGTTATTTGGAAATTTTTTTTCTCACTAATTTAAACTTCATGGCTCACTCTGTTTATGCCTTTACTCACTTTTTCCTTATTTCAAATTTTAATATAGTTATGAAGGTGAGTTATGAAAGAGAATTTGCAACAAAAGGTTTTTCCTGTGGTGTAGCGTCCTCTTAATTGTTATGATTGTGCTGGGTGGCTACAAATGGAGCAATTTATAAAATCTGGAAAAATTATGAAATTTCAATTAGTTTCAGATCAACACTTCTTTTTTTAATCTAGTAAAGACATTATAAACATGGTGCGTAGCATTTTTCAAAAATACTTAAAGGTGCTTTTTTATTCGGGGTTTGTAAAAAGTGCTTAATTTTTTATTTGCTGTATGATTGTCATTCTAAATTACAAAAAAAAAAAAAAGAAAGAAAGAAATGCATGATTCTCACAATTTTCTCTGCAATATTTATCAGAAACTAGTTATTTTATCATAATCATGTAGTCTGTGAGAATATTTTTGAATTTTATTGATTTTATGTTTATAAATTAATTTTTATTACTGCACAGATCTTAATCATGATTTTTGTTTTTGTAAAGTGTTTAAAAATATTTTTTAAGTGCTTAAAGAGTACTAAAAAGGTTAATTTTTGTTAAAAAAATCTGGCTAGAGACCCTGGTTAAAGTGGCAATGTGCACCTCCACCATTATTATAATTCTCTTGACCTTGAAATTGTGAAACCTAAATTTGTATAACCCCTTTGGCCAACAACTGGCTGTTTAGGAATGCTTTATCTTACTCAGTTGTTCTTAATTATTTAATTCTAACAATTTTTACAGAAAGAAAAGAAGTCATTGTAAAAAATACTTTTATTTATAACATTTAAGATGATATGATTACAATTTCATCATAAGCAAACATGTAATTTATGATTTTTTTAAACACATTTAGTAGTATAATTAAAAAAATAAAAAACTCTAGTTTAAATATTATTCAATTATTGGCCACCAAAATTTTACATACACATTTCGAAACAAGAGACATAAATTCTTTACACCACAGTTTTGATTGATTCTTAGGCAAAATTTGTACCATTTAAGACAATTTATTACTTTAAAGTTTTTTCATTATAACCTAAGGTCAAACTATGATTTGAGATATCTTAATAACATTAATAATTTTCAATTAAACTTATTTCTTTTATGACCTAAATATTTATCATAGTCGCAATATTTTTCATTCTGTTGCAGTCAGCAAATTTTCAAAGCAAGTGTGGGCAAAATGTTATTCAATGACTTGTAATAATGATTAAAAATAATCATTATAATCTGTTACAGTTTTAAATGCTATTGCTGGGTGGCCATTTGCATTTAAAAATGTAAAAAGGGGTAGAAATTTAATGTAGTTAATTATTCATTTGTGACCACGATGATTTATATTGCTACCACCATGATTTATATACTATATTTAAAGCAAATAGATTTTCTGCACTCTGTTTTAATAATAAACTGGAAGAAATAAGCTAGAAAATTTTGCTATTTTTTAACTGTTTATAAATTAAGACTTTTGAAAGTGTGTTTTTTCATTTACGGTATTTTTTTTTTCTTTCTGAAATGTCCACTTAGAGAAATTAACTATGCGCCGGTAAATTAATTTTGCTTAAGTCAAACATTAATAAATTTTTTAAAAGTCTAATTTTTAACTGAAAATAATAAGTACATTTTAGTTCTTTGTTCATTTTAGTTCTTGTGTTCTTTGCTGTTATTTGGATTACCCTTTGGTTAGTCACCTGTTATCATCATTACCCCTTTCCCCCACCTCTGCAAAACCCTAGCAGAAAATTACTGCTTGTTATAGCATCGTTTTTTAATGCATAGGTTTTTAATATGCTATAACTCATACGTATTGGGAATATCTTCTGTAGGTGTAAATATTGCGACTAAGATATTTTTATTTTCTTTTTCCTTTAAAAAAATTCACATTAGAACTCTGACAAATAATATTTAGGAAACTCCACAATGCTATATCTAGAAGCAAATAATTGTCTTGAAAATGAATCTGGCACCACATTTTGGATGATTTATAACAGCTCTTAGAAAATGTACAGAAAATTCTTTTTTTTTCTTTTTTTGTTGATAAATTTAATATCTTGTTATGTGCTACTATATTAGGTACTTTATCACAGGTACTATAATATTTCACAAGTACTATATACTTAATTAATACACAATAAAATTTTTGATTTCTGCCTGTTAAGATTTTGATTGCACCATTTAAGGCGGAGTTGGCCAACTTTTTGCATACTCTGAACCAATGCTATATAGATTGAACCTTATATAGATTTTCAGTATACTCTCGATATCTCAAAGTTAAAGGGAAGGTCAGGATAGCCTGTTTGGTAGGTCACTGGGCCCATGTCCAAGATTTCATGGGTTCGATCCCCGCCGGCCAAAGACTCCCTGTGTAGTAAATGGTGACAGATGCACGTTAAATCTGCTGAGTGGCAAAGTTCTCATAACATGTTCCCATAAAAAATCAATACCTCTGGGGGTACTGATCCAGAAGTTTCCTTGTCTTCTTGATTGGTTCAAAATTACAAGGCTACGGAGTAGAATATTGATAGTCGTAACCCGAAATTGGGTCGGCTGTTCAAGAACAAATACATAAAATAAATTTTTTTTAAAAAACATTTAAGGGACACTAAAAAAATTACGAAATAACAAGTTCAGAACCAAATATGTTCTAAAAAGTAGTAAAAATATTACTTTAAAAAGTAGAGTCATAAACTTAAAAATAACTACGATTAAATATGGATGTACTGCTGATAGTTGACTATAAGTCTAAATACAACGATGATAATTTTGTTTTTAAAAGTAAAAGAAAAATAATTAAGTATTCGATAGAAAAGAATTGGTTTACAATGAACTTATAGTGTGATTTTTGTGGAAAAAAATTCTTTATATTTCTGAAAAAGATCAACATAGCAAGGTTTTAAGAAGAAAGCCTTCGACATAGAATTTCAAATTAACATTAGGTGGATGTCTAATGCCAAGGGGAAAAATATTTTTTTGACATAACAAGGTTTGAGAGTATACTGTAATTGACTAATTTTTTGTTAAAGTGAAGAGAAGCAGTGGTTCCCTTAATATCAGAACTAACTGAAGTGCCAATTTGTAATCATCCAATGTGCCATAGTTTGACCATCATCTCACCTTAAAGACATGAAGCATATCTTTTAACAGTAGATCAGTGTTTTTAACTCGAGCTTTCACGGGAATTTTAAATAATTGAGTTTTGATTACCAAATTGTTTGTGCGCATAATTATTGTGCTGATCAAAACAATAAAAAATTAATTTTTTGGCAGTATTAATTTTGTAAGATACATATTGTATTTTATTTAAACTATTTTGTAATGACAGTGACTCATACTTGGGGAAGCTTAAACTTTTTGAACTTATTTAATTAACGTTTATTTTAAATAAATTTGTTCTTAAAAGTAATACCTAATTTTTCATCGGGTGAAATATATATTATATATTTCAGCAGAGGATATATATATGTATATATTTAAATTTCATAGTTAAAAATGTAATTTTAAAATTTGACATTTAAAAAAAAGAAATTCAACTCATAAAATATTTAAAAAAACATTAAGATTTATTTTTAGAATTTATCTTAAAGTACATATATTCAGTACTAATCAACTACCAAATTTCACATCAATACGTTATTCATTAAGCAGATTTTGAAAAACCTGACCGTTTACTTGTAATTAAAAGTTTGGACAAAATCCACATATATAATTATCCACATAATAATAATCCACATATATAACATATATATATAATTTTTTGTTAAATTTTTCAAATTTGCCTTAAAACTTATCACAGTCTAATAGCTTTCCTTGTAACATAATTTAACAATAAATACCTCAATATGTTATCATCATCTAGTTTTAGATTCGAGATGTTTTTGAATTAAATATAATATTATAAAAATCTCATGTGATCAGAATCGTATATGTGGTCAACTAGTTCATGACTTAGATCGTTGTCAATCCAAAATGTGCTGACAGGCTATTTATTTTTTAAGGAAAAAAGTAATTTTATCCCATCATAAAATTTCCTAAAGCCAATGCATTTAACAATTTACAAAGAAATAATACGAGAAATACCGATAAAAATGGAGAGCACATTTTGATGGAAAATTTTCATTTGACAGCAAGTATTATAAAATTCAATAATGTTCGTTAAAATCTTTTGATGAGAAGGATTCGTCGGCAAAGAAAGAATCGTTTTCCGACTCGATATGAAAATGACGTCGATAAAAGTATATATAGTTGATAATCTCTTCTAAAAATGGTCGTTTTGTACAGAATATTTACAATAAAAAGAGCACAAGGAATTAGAAATGAATGACACATTGATGTCTAAAATGTCATCTAGGATTCTAAGCAGTTCAACAAATGCGATACTTATCTTCCTTCGGTGCGTTTTATTTTTCCTTCCAAGTCACTCTGCAATAATAAAACCAACAAAAAATATTAATATTTTTAGGTGCGCAAAGTAAAAAGTGAGCACTTTGAATAACTTTTGTTGGAATAATCGGATTTTCACGCACTAGATTGTTAATGAATTCAGTGAAATAATTTAAAATGGTATCAGATTTTAAAAATGAATTCCTATGTTTAAAATTCGATTTCGCGAGAACAATTCAACCCATTTTGTATTTTGTCATGCAAAATTATTAACTTTAAAATGATGTAAAAATTTTCATACCATATTATTTTACGAAAAATTTGATTGTTAAATAAAAAATGAAAACAAAAACTGGAGAAAGAGATTTCACTTTGAATTGTACAAGATTCATAAACAACCTGACATTATTAAATACATAAAAGTGAATTGGATGGCGATCGTGATTCGAATAAGTGATACAGTAAAAAAGATACTGGTTTTTAGACCCACTGAAACATTAAGGCTCGGTTGAGATGGGCTGACTCAGTGGAGTCTGATTTTCTTGTAATTAATGAAAAGAATTTGGAGATCAAAGATAAATCGGAAGTCGTCATCTTCAGAGAAAGGCATTTGTTCACATTTGGCTGTCTGGCCAACTATGATGATGATGAAATAAAAAATGAATAATTATTAAAATTAAATATTTTTTTTTCCTGTGGAATTATTTTTTAATCAATCAATTTTATAATAGTGTCCAAATATATTTCGATTCGCTTAAAAAGTTCTCAAGTATAGCGAAATACGCAGTGAGTGATATTAACATTAATGGGTCTTAACGTCCTCCAACAATTCATATCCCATTTTATCCAGCTAAAATCAGCAGGCTGAGTAGCTAAGACAGACTTCTAAACTCGGACTTGGCCCGGGGGGGGGTGTTAAAGTCTTTTTGACCAACAGAAGCTGCTCCTTCATGTGGCTTCCCAGACTGCTTCTTTAGCCAGATTTGTAAGTGCCTTACTTATGAGGGAGGCAGAAAGATCCTCCCTACTTGTAAAAAATGCTGTGTTCAACCAGGAATATGTTTACCTCGGACTTTCTAAGGTGGATCAGATCCCCCTTTTTGTTGTGGATTTTCTTGCGGTCAGCGGCGTCCTGGACCGTATCAGACATATGGTCAGATTTATTTATTTTTTATTTTATTGAAATTACATACATTTGCTGACTTGTGTGCTCAATATAGGCTTATAAGTCATTGTCAAGTAGAAAATACAGATAGAACAATTCAGAGAAAGACATCACAAAGAATACATCCAGGGTTACGGCGGGATTCGAACCCGCTACCTCCACGCTTAACAGAGCGTTTGGACCAGCGATACCGCTCGGCCAGGGAGGCCCCAGTCAGATTTAGAGGACATCTATTGAGGCTTAACATGCAAGACAAGGTACGAGACTACTACTTGTTGAGTCTATGCAACGTGAAGTTACTGCACTTAGTAGATCTAGATATCATTTTTGTCGCCTCAAACATTTAATCGTTTCATTTGTATATTTCAGTGCCTTCTTCTGTGTCGAAGCACGGAATGAATAAGAGAAGCATGAAATTTCGAATATGTTACAAAAAAAAGGGGTATGAGAAACGGGTACAAGGACTAGAAATAACATACCCATTTGTCAATCCTTTTTATTTTGTTTCTTTTGCATCTATGCGTTTCATTCTGTGTTTTGACATGGAAGAACGTACTTAATTATACAATCGAAACGATTGTATGCCTATTTATACGACATCAGTTGTGCTCTTTTTCCCATTTTTTTAAACTTATGTGCAGCAGAAATCTTTGTTTATTTGGAATTGGATCAATTGAAAAAATGAATCATACTAATGGTGGAAGACTCATTTAGGACTCTTTATTGTAAAGCACTATTAAAACTCTAAATGTATATATTTTCATTTTATTCATTCATTTGAAGCTTTAAAAAAATCACTATTATTGATGTTTGCGTTCTAAGATACAATCTTAATGATTCGGCCAGCACACCTTAAATAAATTAATTATCAGTGTCATTTATTAAATAAGTTTCGAAATCGGACCCAAGACGTTCTTTTTTCTCTAAATTAAATTACTTTTTTTCTTCGGAGAAAAGAGATTGGATTGGAATATCGATCTTTAAAATATAATGAGGTCAAGATTCCAAAATATCTAGAAAAGATGATCATGTTAGGTAGGACCCTATTTTTCAAATATATAAGTCCTCTCTAGGTGTGTGGAAAATATGAGCTTCATAGTTGGGCCCGGACAACTATAGTCTTTCGTGTTATTCTTTCTTATTAATTTCCTTTTCTCTGAAACGCTGAACTGCAGTAAGATTTGTAATAATGCTATTGTTATAGGAAAAAAATATTCCGTAAAGAGATTCCTGGTTATTTAATTCTAATTTCCTCAAATTCATTAAAATGTCATTTCAGAAGCTTTTCTAGTCACAATCGAAACTATAATTCGTTCACCAGGAGTTGACACTTGCTCCACCTCCTCGGACGCAGAGTTCATTTCAGCGAGGGAATAAAGAGGAGAAACATCTCCGCGCTTGAAATTGAGACAACCCTTAGGGCGTGTCAAACACAAGCAGGGACTTCTTTTTCAATCACTTACTTCGTTTTATCATCCGCTATTATACCTTTCGTTTCTCTAGCTAATTAAATATATTTTAAATTTAAAAACGGCTGTTTTCCCAGCAAAATGTCTCAAAAAGGACAAACTATTCACTCAAAAGAGAGAAATATCGTAAAAAATGGCGTAAAATGCCATCAAATTTATAAAATATTTAATATTGAAAAGTGCAGATAAAATTTGCGAAATAAATATTTTTGCCATTCGATCACCAAAATAGCAACCTTGTTCAGGATTTGCTCACAACCTTCTCCAAAAAACAGCGAAATAGTATCGTATCGTCGCATACCACGTGATGAAAGCGGAGCCAAGTGCTGGTGAACGAGCTATAACTATTTTCTCGCACAACAGAATGTGCCCTCTTTATAGATTGATAGAGCTATTAAATATTATTTCTAATTTATTGATATCTACCTAAAACTATCTTTATTTCACTGAGACATCTGTTATCTCTATTGAGAAATCTATTTTATTGAGATATCTGTTAAAAACTACCTCTATTGAGATAGCTATCTATTTTATTGAGAAAAAACATGAAAGAAAAGAGTGATTACCTTATAGGAAAAAGATTTGTTGAATGCTAGGAGGAAGATGGTTGTTCCTTTTTTGCACTGAATGATATTACTGATCGGATACCTTTTACGGAAGTCTAGTGAGAAAAAAGAATAGAGTTAAATAATATGTATAATATATATTCTTAAGATTTTTGTTAAAAAGGAAAAGTATGCACATTAGAATTGATATATATGAGGAGCAAACAAAAAATATCATTAAAATCTCACAAATTACTAGTGAGAAAGACGGAATGAAAGATACAAAAAACAATATGGTGGAAATTGAAGGTATTTCTAATGATCGTATCTAAATTGCTTTCTATTTTCTCCAGCAATCAAACCCTGGGGGTTCATGGGGCAGAGCGTTCGCCTTTTAATGAGGTGAACCGGGTTCGAATCCCAGCAATGACTGGTCGATGCGAATTCAGCATCCGGCCAGCACCGACCACTGTGCTAACATAAAATATCCTGAGTGGTAGACGGATCAAGGGTTAGAGTCTCCTTGCAGTCAGGCTAACCGTGGAACGTTTTCGTGGTTTTTCTCGCCGTGTAACGCAAATGCGGGGGTTAGTTCCATCATAAAGTTTTCCACAAAGGTCTCCCAATATTTGATCCAGGATTTCTCTTATGTTCTCGATTGGGTTCAAAATTACCGGGCTACGGCGTTGAACATCAGTAGTCGTAAGCCCAAAAATATTGGGTCAACGACGGTTATGAAATTAAATCAAACAAGTTTTGATATTTTCAGTTCGGCCTTGCTATGATGATTTGTCAGATTTTTATAACATTTTGTTTGTCTTTAGATTAAATACTAAGCTAATACTCTCAATATGTAAACTTTTATTTATTCTGAAAATACGTATTAAAAGTTGTCATTACAAAATACCCTGCATACATATACAGAGGCGCCCTTAATATAGTTTTTTTTTTTTAGAATCTTTGTCATCCAATCAAACAATACAATGCACAATGGGGGTTGTAAATGTTTAGCGTGATAGTAAAAGTGATAGATTTATTTTATTCCAACATATTTTTGCAGAGGTAGAAAAGTAAAGTTTTTGAGCGAACAATCCAATAAACCTAGCATTTTTGTATTCTTTTTTTTAAATGTTGAATGAATGCCTTTCTTCTATTTTGCGTACATATGGACAAATATTGATTATGTTTACTTCGATTCATTTTCAGGAACTTAAAAAAAAAAAAAACGATATTCAACTTATAAAAGTGTAATTGAAAAATAGGCGAAAATCATTCAAAAGAATATACATCTGATTAACATTTTTTAACAAAAAGCAAACGATTTTAAATCAAACGCGAACCACAGCTGATGTCATTGCCATGCGATCGTCAGCACATTTTGTTGCAAGATTAAATTTCATTAATTTGTTTTAAATCTGTTGAAAAGGATTATTCATTCTTTTTCTTTATTAAAACTTTGTTCTATTATTCATTAAAAGTTATTTGTGGGCTGTTGATTTTTGATGATGTTTAGTTACTTAATTGTAATATGTCTCATTTGGTGAAAAAAGATACTCATATGATAATTATAGCAACGATGATGTCACCAAAAATCGAATATTTCATAAAAGTGATCCCTATCAATGAATGTTACATTTAAACTAGACGAATTTTTTATCCTTCTATGGTTTGTTAATAGCCATAGCATTTTTTTTTCTTTCGAAAAGTGTTCTGTATGCCAAGCTTTTGATTTTAAGAAGTTTTGAGCTTTCATAGTGGTTGTTTCAAAAGCAAAAAGTTATTTCGTAACATGGTAAGTTCCGTTTTATTCATGTGACGCAACAGAAAGTGTAAAATCCTATGAAATGGGGCGAGTCCTATTTATTTTGTTTTTCTTTTGCATGTAAGCAAGTTCTTGTATTAACGAATAAATTTGTATTAGTGTCTTAAGATTAATGATTGAAGAAAAATTTTATGATTTTGGTTCACTTTCGATTTTAAGTCAATTTAATTTCTTTGTTTAAAGGTTCCTTCGTTTTCAAATACTTATTGGAGGCTTATTTTCGATTATCAAGTCAACGTTAATTCATTTTAATCACATTTGTTTTTTAGTTTTTTCTTCAATTTCATAATAATGTACCCCCAATCAATAATATTTTTTAGGATTTCTATTTTCCAATTTAGATTGATTTTCCACTTTTGATCACGATATTTGAGAGAATGATTTGCCCAGTACACTTGGTGGTGTAAATGAAAACAATAACTGGAGAAGGAGACGTAACTTTGAACTCTACAAGATTTATAAACAACACGATATTATTAAATAGATAAAAATAAATAGAATGAATTGGATAGCCCTCGTGATTCGAATGAGTGAAGACAATACAGTAAAAATACACTTCTTTTTAAACCCACTGGAAAAAGAAAGAGGGGAAGGCCGCGGTTGAGATGGGCTGACTCGGTTGAGTCTGATTTTCTTACGATTAATGAAAAGAAATGAAGATCAAATATAAATTGGAAGTCATCATTGGGAAATATTCAGAGGAAGGTATTGGCCCACATTGGACTGTCTGATGATGATGATGATTAACATTTTTGCACAGTTAAAGAAATTAAAATCTTTCAAATTCTGTTTTAATTCAAAATCTTGATTTTTTAACATCAAATGTGCTCTGGGTAATTCCAAAATTATTGTAATGGTTCAATTTACAATTATCCCTATACACAATGATTTATGAATAAATAAATGTTAGCATTATCATTTCTGATTTTTTTTAATGAACTATGCTCATTAATATGCAGTTATTGAAATTGTGATTGTAGTTAATAATGGGACATCACCAAAGGCGGCCTTATTATATCGACGTCAAATGAGTCTCCGTGATTGGCGCATTTTTGTAGTAATCTGATAAGTGCTATCTGGGACATGTCCCTGCTTCTAGCCAATCATAATCGAGGTAGGGAACAGCAAGTGAGGGATTAAAATCGTCAAAAACCATTTTATGTCTAGTCTTTGATCCACTTTTAAGCTTTATCAAACCTTCAACTTTTAAATAGCATCTTAGGGGATATTTCCGTATCGTGATCTGTTGCGCTAACTGCAACCGCCAAGGTGCCAAATAGATTTTAAACTTGCAAATTTTTGTTTAAAAAATATGTAGATGTTTGTCCGGGTGTGGGTATGAGTTAGTCCCTTTCTGTGATGTTTTTTTTTTCTTCCCCTTTCTTCTTTTTTTAGTTTCTCGCGGGCCTCTGCCCGGAAGTTCCTGTCTTGGCAATTATTCTGCCACAGATCACGATACGGAAATCTCCCCGACTTTTTTTTTATTGAGCTCTGTAATGATTGGGTTTATTTTAAAAAAAGTTTTTATTCGGTCTCACTGGAATGGCAACGCTTAAGAATAAAGCGTTCACGAAACAGCACGTTTTGACATGAAGGATCCACAATTTTGTGATCAGAATTAGATCTGATGCAGGATGAACTTCAAACCGCCACTGTTCAAGATCCCAGTCTTTCACGATGGCGTGACAGTTCCTGCCTTATCTACCGAACCATCACGTACATATTTTTTATACGTAATTTTTTCAAGGGGTCTAAAAATATATATTAACGGTGGTCATTGCAAAACACCCTATACATTAGGCGTTAGGTTTGAAAACAATATCAATCGTTTTTCAGAAATTTTGCAGTAGGGTGGTAAAAGTGGCACTTTGGGAATATCCCGTCGTCCATTTTCGCCAAACCCGATATTATCGCCAAAAAGGTAGCTTCTGGGACAATAACTGCAAATTTTTATCATATTTACTGTGTAATCCTTGACAACGCAAGTTAGATTTTTTTTAGCGTGTCAAAATATACTGTTTCCACCCATTGGCAAAATGGGTCTTGTTTTGGGTTTTATGGCGTGCGCACTTAATTTGAACGTCATCACACTTTTGAACTGTGTCCGAGAGTAATTGTAAACAGTGTTCATGCATCGTCATTGCATGCGTTGCTATGGAGACAGCTGCTGTTTTTTCTTTTCACTAGCAGGCATTTTTAATGTATTTACATAATAATAATTTGAAGTATTTTTATATTCTCTTTATTATAAATTTATAATGACTGGCGGTGATTTTAATATAAATATGAATACTGAAGAGGGAAAAGTATTTTGTGACGTCTTGAAACGCGTACGTAAGGCAGGATTTTAAAACATCAATGGAGGCAGCAACCCATGATGGTTTGAAATGTTGTGGCGTTTAACAGAGTCAATCTAGAAAGAAAAAGCATTTGGACAATGGATAACCAGTGATAAAGCGATCACAATTTTTTTTCAATCTGTTATGTATGTTTTCTTTTTTTACTTCGTTGCAAAATGATTCGAATTTTTTATTTGTCTAGCACCAAGAGAGAGAGAGCAGTTTGTTTGCACTTTAAAAGCTATCAAGGATTTTTGGCCTCCGAAATGATTAATAATAATATTTATGGTTAGATTCAAGAATAATTCAATGTGTAATTATAAAAAAATAGAGGTTTTTACTTTGTTTTGATTATTTTTCATTACACTTTTTTACTTCGCATTTTTAAACTTACATTGTTATTATTATTATTTGATAAATATAATGTGTTTAGAATGTTTATTTTGGAAATTGCTTTTCATTATGATGGTGCCTAAAGATTTACGCATTTACAGGTCGACGAGATAATCCGAAAAAGTCATAAATCAAGGTGATCCAGGCTAGAATTGATTGATTGATTCGTATATAGCTGACTTAAAATTTTACTAGTGTGAAATTTTACTAAGGTGTTTAAATTTTACACCTTATTTAAGACGGTTCCTCGATTCTAAATAATCTAAGTAAAATAATCTTCGTTCGATTTTAGCATTATACCCGATTTATAACACCCTTGTATTTCTTTAAATCGACTAATAACGTTTATGTTCAATGAAATTATTGCAGAAAAGTACGTGCCCCAAGTGCTTAGTACTTTAGTTTTTAAGTTGAGAGAAATTTATAATTGTTTAAATTCTTTTTTTTTTTCCATTTATAGTTGCAATTGGAAATGTGTAAAGAATATTTACAAAATTTTTATTTTAAAAATAGCAACTGGAAGTGTTTATAAAGAGTTCAAGATGAGAAATTTAAGAAAATTGATATTTTTTTTTCGTTTATAGTTGCAATTGAAAATGTGTAAAGCAATGACATGTTCAAGAATATTTTATAAAACTTTTATACTAAAAATAGCAACTGGAAAAGTTTAAAAAGCTTAAGAATAATTGACAGCGTATTTAGTCATTAGAAAGCTCTAATATATTTACCTTCTTCTTCATTCCATTCAAATATTCTTTATACATTTCGGATCTCAGATATCGAGAGTATTTATCATCCTTCATTAATTGATACAAATGAGCCTGGAAAACAACAATAAAAAGAGATTATTTATGTCACTCCATTACACAGAAATAAAATGTTCTTTTTACTCACAGCGGCTTCTTCGAATGTCCACCTGTCGGGATTCTCGATGTTCTTTTTGGTAATCTCATAGCTCTTAGAATCGATATTAATCGCTTCTTTAGCATCTATCTCCAAATACAGACTGAAAAAAAGAACAAACATTTCATACTATTTAAAAGCGTTCTCAGAAGCTCTTTTGCCAAAATGAATAAACAAATAAATTTAATTAAATAAATAAATAAACTAAATAAATAAATTAACTAAATAAATTAATTAAATTAAATAAAATAAATAGAAAAGAATTCTAAAACAGTTATAAGATAATTGTAGTCACTACAATTAAAAAAAAGTAATTGTGGTGGTAGTTAAACTACATTTGTAACAAAGTAGTTGTTGTAGTAAACGACGAAGATAATGTAGTTTTTCCAACTACTGGTTCAGACTAATTGTAACAAATACACAAAAAATAGCTTATTATTCCGGATGTATAACAGTTTAAAAATGGGAGAAAAAAAACTTTACCAAACAGTCATGACTAACTATTACAAATATCAGGGGTCTGTCCAGACATTTTGTGAAAGGTCCGTTTTTCGTGAAATTGTGAAAAAATTACTCACATTCTTTCAACCAGGGTCCGCTTTTATGAATTTGTGCAAATAGGGTCCGTTATTGCAAAAAAAAACTTTTTCAAGGAGTTTTTAAATTGTAAAGA